CGAGATGGATTGGCAAAGTGGCAGCATCAATGGGCTCAAGCGTGGTAACAGTAATGAGGTTGGCTCAGGATGGGGCAGTGTTTCGTTCTGCTTTGCATAGAGTCGCTATGAGTCTGTACAGACTCAATGGCACCTAACAACAACAACAGTTCCTATCAGTGGAGCCCTTTTGGTGCTGTGGGGTAAGAATGAGCTGCTAATCTCAAAAGTCGGTGGTTCAAACCTACCAGCTGCTCTTTGGAAACCTTATACAGTGTTACTATGAGTTGGAACCAACTCAACGGCACTTCCCAACAACTTCTAGTCATGGAATCCTGGTGGTGCTGTGGTTTAAGCATTGGGCTGCTAACAGGAAGGTCAGCAGTTCCAACCCACCTGCCACTCTTTGGAAACCCTTTACAAGGTTGTTATGAGTGGGAACCGATTCAACTAACAACAACAATATCTAGTAAGGGAGCCCTTCTGCCATTGTGGGGTAAGTGTTGGGCTGCTAATCTCAAAGACGGGGGTTCAAACCCACCCATTGCTCCATGGGAGAAGATGGGACTACCTGCTCCCATAAAAAATTAGTCTCGATGCACAGAGGAGATTGTAATCATTGCAGTGAAACAATGAATGTACAACTGATGTTCCCACATGTAAACTATCACTCAAGTCACAATAAAAACTTAAAAAAAAAAACCATCTCAGAAGCTATAAATAGAATAACTATGAGTCAGTATCAAGTTGATGGCAGTGGTTTTGGTTTTGGGTTTGGACCTTAACAATAATAGTCGTTATAATTGTAGCAGTAAACTCAGGTATCCAATTGCCTACTCCACATTTCTGCAGGAGAAAGATGAGGCTTTCTGCTCCTGCAAAGATTTACAGCCTCTGAAAGAAACCCTTTACAAGAACTCTATGAGTCAACATTTTCACTTTAAAAAGCATGAACGTCTCAAATTTCACATCGACTTTTCTGTGTTATGATAATGAGGCCATATCAATGTAGAATGTGTCCTAAATCTAATCACCTCTGAGTGATATTGAAAGACACAGAGACATACTAGTAGATACATACAGCTGGAAGACAGCCACTATCAAGACAATTCAGACAGTTGTGGCTAGAGTTGAGCACGCTAGATACATTGTAGCTATAAGAAGCTGAAATCGACAAGAAACGCACAAGTTAAATCCCTGAATTTGGACTTTTAGCATCCTGAACTGTGAGAAATAAATCTCTGTCCTTTGAAGAAGGATGGGGAGGCCTCACCCCACACTTTGGACATGTCTTCAGGAGGGACCATGGAGAAGGACATCATGTTTGGTAAAGCAGAGGGTCAGTGAGAAGAAGACACTTAACCAGATGGAATAATGCAATGGTGGCAACAATGGGCTCAAACAGCAAGACTGTAAGGATGGCACAGGACCAGGCAATATTGGGGTCTGTTGTACAAGGACCACTGTGAGTTGGAAATGACTCAAGGGCACCTAACAACAACATCTCTTAGAACCAAAACATCCTTTCAATACTTGTGGTATTTCTGTTAGAGCAGTACCAACTAGGACACCACCCAAGTCCCATAGTCCATAATCTGCATAACATCCAGATGAAGTCTTATTTAAAACACAACTGAATACTTATCACTAGGCTCTAAGCCTTCCAGTGGCCCCATCTCAGAGGACAAGCTAAAGCCCATCAGTTTCCTGCAAGATATTACTTGATCTGGCCACCATTTCTCCTCCAACCTCACCCTCATCCCTCACTGCAGTTCCAGGGTCCCCAAGATCACCGTCAAGTTCAATGATTCACTAAGGAGACTCATAGAGTTCAGAAAAGCTGTTATTCTTGTGGGCGTGGTTTATTACAATTAACCCCAAAACCAAATCGAGTGGATGCTAAGCCATAGCCACCGAGTATAGGGTTCCCAAGGCTGTAAATCTTTACGGAGACAGACAGCCTCATCTTTTTCTCGAGGCGCAGTTGGTGGGTTTGAACCATCGACCTTGCAAATAGCAGCCCAATATTTCACTCACAATGCCACCAGGGTGCATTAAAATAAGCAAAAGGAACAGCACATAGGTGAAGATTTCCCTTGGGTGATGATGCAATTGGCTTTGTAGCAATTGGAGTTGCTGAGACATTCCTGAGCCGGGAAAAGGCAGGGGTGGGGGTTGGAGAAAACAGAGAAGAGATTTGGGGTGATTCAGAAAAACTGTTAGTGCTTGGACAAGATTGACAGAGATCTAGGTAAGTCAGCGATTGGGACGGTCAAGGGGAGATCAAGAATAGCATCAGAAGAAAACCTGGAGTTTTCCTCTGGTAACCACAGATCTCATCCGAAAACTGTTGGAGCTAACGCAGGGATGGTTCCGCCTTCAAGGACAAGTTCAGCTACTTCTGCTTTGGGATCTGTCTTCTTGGTGTGCTCCATCTGTCCATACTGACTTGAGGTATGTGTGCCAAGGGGCAGCAAGACTATACTGTACATACCTACATGTACAGTGACTTCTTGGAGGGAGGTACAGGTAATGGATGGATTAGAAACAAGGTTAGGCCTGGACCTAGAAGTGGAATGGTGAAATGGATGGATTATCATGTTGAGGTAGAAGTTACATGGCTTGGAAGAAGCATGAAGAAGAAATTGGTGTGGGTCCAGAGGTGGGGGATGGAAATGTGGTTGAAAATGAAGCTAGGGGTTGAGAACGGGTTTGTGTTTGAAGTGAGAGCTGGGTGTTAAAGACGAGGATTGTGCTCTGAATCTCCCACACAACACATCCATAGCCTAGACTTCTGGAAGTCTGTCCTGATGCTCCTCAAGGGTGTGAAGACCTCCACCCACCTCTGGGAGACTATACTTGGGTGCTCTCCAAAGTGACCCATTACCTCACTGGTGAGGATGAGGGATGAAGGCCTTCAAACCAGTATCTAATAGAAGGAAACCAGGTCTATTGGATCACTCCTGCCTCTTCTAGTCCCTTGCCAGCTCTTCTAGAACTGAGGGTTTAGTTCATCTTCAGAGTAGACGTCTCCTCCCAGGGAAATTCCTCAACTTCAAAGATGACAAATTTGCCTGGGTCTTCTACCTAGACTGTGGTACCTTCATTTTATTTTATTTATTTTTTCAGTCTTTTATTCATTTATTGTTATTTTGCTTTTTAGTTCATTTGTGAGGATTTTTCTGTCTGTTGAATTTTAATTCATCTTGAAGGCTATGATTTTCGTCAATAAGTACTTTACGTTCTCTTGACCTTCAGAAAGCAAGGTCATGTAATCTGCTAATGAGTCTTCCTCCAATCCTGATGCAGCATTTTTCCTCATACAGTCCAGCTTCTTGGATTATTTGCTCAGCATACAGATGGAATAAGTTTGGTGAAAAGATACAACCCTGACACACACTTTTCCTGATTTTAAACCAGGCAATATCTTATTGTTTTATCTAAACTACAGTACAGGTTCCACATGAGTCCAATTAATTGTTCTATAAGTCCCATTCTTCACAGCATTATCTATAATTTGTTATGATCTACACAGTCTTTTGCTTTTGCATAGTCAATAATTCACAAGCATACTACTTTCTGGTATTCTCTGCTTTCTGCAAAGACCCACCTGACATCAGCAATGTTATTCCTCATTCCATATCCTCTTTTGAATATGGCTTGAATTTCTGAGTTTCTTGTCTATATATGGCTGCAACTGTTTTTAAAATTATCTTCAGCAAATTGTATGTGCATGTGATATTAATGATGTTGTTAGAGAATTTCCACATTCGTTTATGTCAGGAATGGGTATAGATGTAGATATCTCCCAACTGGCTGGCCAGGTAGGTACCTTCCAAATAGCTTGGAGTAAACACCTCCAGCGCTGTATTCGGTGGAGGTACCTTCATTTTATACCTGTGCACAGGTGAGGGGTTGACCAGAGCCCAATGCCATGGTGGGGGGAGGAGGAGGTTAGTGTTTGGAGGGCCTGAGCCTCCTGGAGTGACATTCTGTGACTCCTCCCACGCTAGATCCCCAATTCTGACCAAACCACAGGGGAGCTGCCTTTGAATTCATTTATCTCATGAGGCTCTGAGATAAAGTGAACCATTCAGAACTGTGGTTCTTTCTCATCTGCCCAAACCAGGACCCAGGACTCTGATCCCCAGCCTTCAGTCCTATGCATCCAAGCCCCTGCTTTCCCCCTTTTGTGGGAGACCCTCAGAGTAGAAAGTTGCAGAACTGAAGGAAAATATGATGCAGCCCCAACTATCCCCTGTGGCCACATCCCCCACCTCCCACTTCATTCTGACTTCATTTACCACCTCTGAGTTCCCACACTTCTCTCTCTCTTGTGTTCCAGGAAGCTCTCTCTGGTGATGAGGGCTTTAGCAAAGAAGCAAGTTCTAAACCAACATCCAAACCACTGTCATGTTGCAACACCCTCTGGGCCCTCCCCCATCAAACATTCTGACAGAAACCTGGGGAAGGAGGTCTTGTCTGTATAGGGTCAGGACGGAAGGAAGTGTGAAAAAAGACACACTACCGGGAACTGTGTGAAACCAAGTCAGTCTCCTCTTCGGGACCCAGGACTTCCAGCTGCTCCTTACTGTCTACTAGACCCAGGAGTCCAGTCCCACTGCCACCTCTTCTCTCAGAGACTGGATCACTAGCCTCTTCATACCCCCAGGACCCAGAAATCCTGCACCCACCACTATGGAGCCCTGTCTGTCCCTGGCCCTGCTTGCTGACTCCATGGGTCTGGTGATCAACCTCGTTGCTCTGAGCACAGATTTTTGGATTGAGGTGGTGGGACCCATTGCAATTCATGCGGGTCTGTGGCTAAAAGGCCCAGTGGAAGGTAAGGGGGAGTGAACTCTATCTTGATTGGCTAGGTCTGTCATAACAAAATACATCCAAGTAGGTAGCTTTGAAGAAGCTCTGAAGGTTAGCAGTTGGAATTCATGGCATTAGTAAGACCATGCCCCAACTGAAGTCTAGGGAGGAAGAAAGAGTCTTTCTTGCCTCTTCCAGCTTCTGGTAGCCCCAGAGGTTCCTTGATTATAGATGTTTGAGGGGGCTTCAAAAAGTTCCTGAGAAAATATGATGAACAGATTGTGGAAGTTTTCCATGAACTTTTGAAGCCCTCTCGTATCTTCACATGGTTCCCACCTTCTTCTGATGTGATTCTGTCTCCTTGTCTCTTCACCCCTTTGACCATTCACCCAGCTCTGGCAGAATCACATTAAACCAAAGCCAACCACTTGCCTTCCATTTGATTCCTACTCATGGTGACCGTGCGTTGCAGAATAGAACTGTGTTCTCTAGGATTTTTAGTGGCTGTGATCTCTCAGAGGCAGACGGCTAGCTTCTAATGTGCTTCTGGGTGGGTTGTTGTTGTTGTTAAGTACCGTGGAGTCGGTTCCGACCCATAGTGACCCTGTACAGGGTTTCTGAGGCTGTAAATCTTTATGGGAGCAGAACGCCTCATCTTTCTCCCACAGAACTGCTGGTAGTTTCGAACTGCTGATCTTGCGGTTGGCAGCCTGACTCGTAACCACTAAGCTACCAGAACTCCTTTCTGGGTGGATATGAACCACCAAATTTTCCATTAGTAGTGATGCATTTACCCATTTGTGCCACCTACAAACTTCATATGACTCAGTTAACGTACCTGCAACATATCTTTCTGTTTTTGGTGGGTGGGGAGCACAAGCCAACCCATAGTAGGCTGACTTGTGGGGGAATGACCAGTGGGGACAAGAATTCAGAGGTCCTTTCTCCATGTAGACTACATCCACGTGACTCAGGGCTTCAGTATCTCAGCGGCATTGTTAAGCCTGGTGGCTCTGATCTTCCTAGTCTGGTCCTTCATTCCCTTGTTGACTGCCCCAGCCCACAGCCTCCTTGTCTCCACCAAAACAGCCTTTGCTGCAGGTAAGACACTGGGCTGGGCTGGTTTTGGGGATTGTGGGGAACTGCTGAACTCCTGCTGAGCTGCCTGTCTGGTGGTCTTTTCCAGCCCTCTGCATGATTGTGGCCATGTCGGTGTATACCAGCGAGAATCTGCACAAGAGGGTACATTCCCAGCTCCAGGTCTCCTTTGGCTGGTCTTTCTACCTGGGCTGGATCTCAGCTATACTCTTGCTCTTTGCAGGTGACTGTGCCCCTCCACTCACTGGAAGTTTGGGAGGGTCTAGCGAGACCAAGTTTGGGGCAATTGCTAACCTCTCTCTCTGACCACTTTAGGTGCCCTGAGTCTGGCTGCACACTGTGGTTCTCGCCGAGCAGAATATCGCAGTATATGATCTGAAAGGCGAGAAGAGAAGTATACACTTTGGAACGCTTTTTTCCAGAAGGACCGCTAGCATCCCTGATCCTCTGTCCTTCAAGTCCCTCCCCACCTCTTTCTTTGTTCCTTTTTTTATTCAAAGAAAAATTGCTTGGCTGTGTTCCTTCATTTGTTCAACAAACATGTGCTGGGGTCTGGTTGTTCTGAGATTTCATCAGCCAAGAGCTAAGCCAACTGTGGACAAACTCCATGGTGAGTGGCCGTGGGCACCATGAGGGGTCAGAGCCAGTGTGGACACAGGCATGGCCAAAGGTCCTTCTCTCCTAGTCTCTAGCCCCTTTCCATGTCCCTGTTCCTGTCTCTCGCCTACATGCCCCTCTTTCTTCTCCCTTTATCTCTAGTTCTCTCTCCTTCTCTCTGCTCTTCTGACTTTGCATCTCATTCTCTTTGTGCCATTTCATTCACCTTTTCCCTCCGCAGTGGGGGGATTTCTCTGTTGAGCCCTGCTGGGGATGCAGATGTGGGTCAGAGCCAGGTCCTATCTATCAGGGACTGCTAGTCCAGTGGAGGAGACAGTGACAGACAGAGAAGCAATGAATACAGGCCAGGTAGCAGCCAGACTCAAGGGGAGAGCACAGTCTAAGTAAGACAGATCAGATCATAGAGGATCGGTGGAGGTGGTCTCCAGCAAAGCTTTCTGAAGAGAGGGGAACTAAGGAACGTCTTGGGGGCCAAAGAAAAGTGTTCTCGGTGTTGTCATTGTTGTCAGTTGCCATTGAGTTGACATTAACTCTTGACAATTTCATAGGTCTCTGAGTAGAATGGTGCCCATAGGGCTTTTGATGGCTGATTTTCCTGAAATAGATGCTTGGACTTTGTTACCGAGGTACCCCTGGCTGGACTTGAACTCCCAACATTTCAGTCGGCAGTTGATCATGTTAACCATTGCATCATGCAGAGACTACGGTGGCCCAGGTGGATGGGACCATTCTAGTACTCTGTGGCTGGAATGTAGAAATGAGAATGGAGGCGTGAACTGAAGCCAGGGCCTCCAATGCCCTATTTGAGTTTCTTCCAAGGGTGAACTAGGAGAAGACTGTGAGCAGAGGAGGGACAGTGTCAACTTTGGGTGTCAGAAAGACCCCTCTGGGGGTAGCAGGGGGGTTAGAAGGTTAAGGTCAGAAGACTAGCAATACAAGAAATAGAACAGGTGGAAGAGAACAAGGCCCAACTTGGGATCAGAGCATGAGATGGGAATGAGGAAATGGTCCAGATAGGTTGATGCAGGGACAGGAGGAAACAAGTCATGGGAAGCCATGGATCTTGTGGGGTGAAGGGCAGCGAGAGGGCAAGGATAATGGATGGGTCTGGCTCAAATAATTGGGTGCGACGGATAGGGCTATTCCTATTTGGCGGAGGCTACTGAGCTCAGTTGAAGGGTCTGAGAGACAGGAGCAGGTGAGGCTAGAGTCTGAGGCTTAGGAAGGAATCTCCAGGTCTTTCTCCTGAGGCAACTCTGGGTGAATTTGAACCTCCCACCTTTCTGTTAGGAGCTCAGGCATTGCACCACCCAGACCCACCTGCCCACTGCCATCACGTCAATTTGGATTCATAGTGACACCACAGGCCAAACTAGAACTGCCCCAAGGGTTTCCAAGACTGAAAATCTTCATTGGAGTGCATTGCCTTATCTTTCTTTCCTGGAGAGATGGTGAATTCAAACCTTTGACCTTTTCATTAGCAGCCACTGGGCCATGAAGGCCCCACCCAGAGACTCCAGTAAACCCGGGTTGATGAGACCAAAGGCTGAAAGTAGGGTTTTGTTTATTTTTTTAGCTGCTTGTCAGAACATAAACGGTCCCTGAAATTGAAGGAGGGAGGCAGCCCATCTGGTTGAGAAGGTGGAGGAACATCAACCTAGTGAATGGGAGGAGGAGGGAAGCATGTCCGAAGGCATTCAAGGGCACAGACTAAGTCAAGAGAAGAGCTGTTTCTAGAAGAAGAAAAGGATCTACCAGGGTTTGACCCTCAGGCTGCTAGGGGAGGTGGAAGGGGCTTTATCCCTTTAAATGGCTGCCTAGAAGAAGGTTCTGGAATCCCTGCTGCCTCACAGAGACCTAGCCTCCCTCCCCCATTCCTTCTTGGTGTCTAGGAAGCCCTGGGGAGCTGAGTGTGAGTCACTTAGGTGGTGTGTGTGCAAGGGGGGTGGAGCACTGAGGGGATGATGGGGGGGGATTCCAATGGGGGAGGCCTGTGGGTCCTAAGTGGGCCCCTATGTAGGGAACTTAAGAGAAGAGTCTTGTTGGAGGGAGGGGTTTCCGATCCCTAGGCAGAGTTGCAGAGAGGGGTCTCACACACTGAAGGACCTGAAAGAGAGTGCCAAGGTCCCCAGGAATAAAGGTTCCAGGTAGGGGGTGTTACTGTCACTGTTAAGTGCCACCAAGTTGTTTCTGACTCATACCAACCCTGTATAGGGTTCATAAGTGTTTGAAGCGCTGACCTTGTGGCTAGCAGTCCAGTACTTATCATACAGTGCCACACCGGGACTCCAAAGGGGGCTTCGTTATTGTTAAGTGCTGTGGAGTGGGTGGGTTCTGACTCATAGTAACCCTGTATAGGGTTTCCAATGAGTGGCTGGTGGGTTTGTATCGTTCACTTTGCCATTAGGTGTCTAGTGTTCATCGAAGAGCGCCACACTAGGTGTTGTTGTTAAGTTGTTAAGGTCAAGTCGGTTTCAACTCATAGGGAGCAGTGACTTGGGAGTTTGAACTGCGGAGCTTACAATTCAAACTGACCTTTCCAGCCAGTGCTTTACCCTAGGATGTCACACCAGGACTCCAACACCAGGAGTTAAAGGGACACAGAGGCCTGAGGGAGTGAGGTCTCCAGGTCCCCAACCCTGGTGGCACTGTGGATTAGGTATTGGGCTGCTAATTGCAAAGTCAGAAGGTGAAACCCATCAGCCCCTCCTCTGGAGACAGATGAGGCTGTCTGTTTCCGCAAAGATTTACAGTCTTGGCAACCCTATATAGAGTTATTGTGCCTCAGAACCCACTCCATAGCAGTGGGCTTAAGCAGGGGTGCTGGACGAGGCATCTGGGGGTGGGTGGGAATGAGAGGTGTCTCTGGGGGAAGGAAGGAAGGAGCTAGGGGAGGGGTATTGACCAATGCCGACTCCTCGCTCCCCCCACCCCAACCCGCGCGTTCCTCCCCGCAGCAGCCTCCCTGGCATGGGGGTAAAGCGGTGCCTTCAGATCGGAGGTACCATGCTCATCTTCTTAGCCAACATCCTTATGGTACTGGCCACTGCCACCAACTACTGGAGCCGACACCCAGACGGCCACAGCGGCTTGTGGCAGGAGTGTAACCAAGGCGTCTGTTCCACCATCCCCTGTCAGAGTGAGAACCGCTGCGACCACCTAGTGGGACGTCTCCCGCCCCTCTCAGCAATCCGCCCCCTCAACCCGGCAGTCCCCAATGCTAACAACGGCATGCATCCTTTCCTGACGCAATCCCTGGGCACGCGTGCTGGACGAACCAGAGAAAACTGTCTTATCCCTTCCAACCCAACCTCCCTCCCCATTTCTGGATTTGTTTGTCTGTTACGACATTAACTGCTCGTTATGAGATAACGCTCGGTTGGGCAGAGTGGGGCTGGCTGGGGGGTGGGGAGTATTGAGACACTTGCCGCAGGCCTGATGCGGGGCCCCGTCTCCCCAGCCATGCTGGCGATGACAGGGGCGTGCATGGTGCTGGCGGTGGGCTTCGGCATCGTGAGCATGTTGATGGGGCTGCGCATTTTGTGCCACCATGGTGAACCGCTGCGGGGCCGGATGACCAGTGCCATCTTATTCCTCAGCGGTGAGACTGCGGCACATGGTGGACCTGGGGAAAAGGCGGGGATTCAGGCTGCGGACAGCGTTTCAGGAGCGAGGCAGGAAGCGGGCAGGACCAGGGGGCGTGACTGGGAGGAGGGGTGTGGCCTGCACGCTAGGGGCGGGGCCTGATAGGAAGGCTTTCGGGGTGGGGGAATGGGTTAGAGACAGGAAGACTAGGGGGCAGGGCTTAGATCGGAGGGTAGGGCCAGAGGCGTGGTGGGGAAGAAAGGGGTGTGGCCTGGACACTGGGGGCGGTCTTGGAACGGAGGCCAGGGCTTGAAATGGAGGTGGGTAAGGCTAGGGGCGTGGCATGGAGGAGAGGGTGTGGCCTGAGAACTAGGGGCGGGGACTGGAACGGGGCGCATGTTCTGGGGCGTGGCTTGGATGCACCCTCACCTGACCGCGCTCAACTGTGGGGGGCCGCTAGGGTTGCTGCTGCTCATCGCAATGATAGGCTACTCCGTGAAGGATGCATGGACGTCTGACGTCTTCTTCTCCTGGTCCTATTTTTCGGGGTGGCTGGCTTTACCCTTTTCTATCCTCGCGGGTAACCGGGACGGCGGGGTAGAGGAGAGGATCCCTCACCCACCTACCCACCTACCCACCCAGAGACTTCCCAGGGACCCAGCCCCGCACCCCAAGACACTCCATCCCCGGCAGAAATGTCCTCAGAACTGCAAAACCCCAGGGCCCACCTCCCTCCGCTGCCTCCCACCAGGCTTCTGTTTCCTGCTGGCGGACATGATCATGCAGAGCACCGACGCGATCAGTGGGTTCCCCGTGTGCCTGTGACCGCGGCCTGCCTGGGGTAGAATAAAGGAATGCCTCCCACCGCTACGGCTCCGCACGCCTTTCTGGGGCATGGGGACACGGGCCTAGGGAACATGAACGTGTGGGCACGGGGAAAACGTGAGAACATGAACGTGGAGGGAACGGTGGAGAAAGGCCTAGTGATTTACTTCAAAGATTATAACCTTAAGAAATGTACGGAGCAGTTCTACTGGGCGGACAAGGATGGGAAACCTAGAACACAGAGTGGATAAGGGACATGGATTTGGAAAGGAATTCGGGACCGTTGGAGTTTTAAGGGGGCGCGGGCATTTGCGAGGGTATGGTGACACCGGTGTGGGGCGAGGTGGGTAAGAGGGGACATAGAGGCATGAGCATGAAAAGGACAGGGAACCCGGACGGGATGGGAACTCGTGGGGGCTCCAGTACGGAGTGGGCATGGAGACACGGAGACACCGTATACAGCAACGTGGGAGAAAGAAAGACGGAGGGGATTGGAGAGGTGAGGGAAGCTGCAGGAACACTGGGAAGAGCGCAGTAGGACAAAAAGGATTTCCAGTTTCCATGCGCTGCATTCCCGAGAACAACCTTTCCCCTAGTTCCCGGTCATGCACCCTCCTCTGAGATCTTTCCCTATTCCCTTCCGTGTCCCGTCGCTTTCCCCCCGGATCATTGTCTCATTGGGCCCCGCCCCTCTCCCATCTGGTCTCCTGATTGGTTCTCTGTCAGATGGGAGGAGGCCAGCACTTCTGCGGTAGGCGCTGCGCTGCGCTGCGCAGGCGCACAGAGGGACAGCGGGGAGGGCGAACGGGGCAACTGGACTGAGAGGCGGAGGGTGTGGAGGCCGTCAGCGGAGGCAGCAGGAAGATGGCGGAGCTGCGTGCGCTCGTGGGTGTCAAGCGGGTCATCGACTTCGCAGTGAAGGTGACCGGGTCCTCCCTTCCCCATCTCCCTGAGCCCCGCGACCGTGTGCTTCCGGGGTCAAGAGTACACACTCTCTCGGGGTCTTTTCGTAACCTCTGACCTCTGGCTACTCTTCCCCTCTCCCCATGCATTAAAAAAAAAAAAAAAAAAAATCACACGTGGGAGTAAAGGAAAGGTCAAGGACCGTAAAGTTCTGACATCGGTCTCTCCTCATTCTGTCCCGGGAACCTCTGGGGTCGTGGTCCCATCACACTATTAATAATCGGGTGCTTTTGTATGAACTGTCAGGGAAGGGGGTCATCGTCCATGTTTAAAACACGGAAAAAGGTCACTCAGCGAGGGAAAAGGAGAGCACAGATCTAATTCGGGTCGCCCTGACTTCTTGCCTCAACTTGTGTTTTGCACACAAGCCAAACTTTCACCCACTCGCCTGCATTCCCTACTAGAACGACTCAGTACCCAAAAGGCGCCCTCCTGGAGGTCAAATCAGGAACAGTGGGAACCCAGAGGAAGGTGCAGTGGACTTGGCATCACAGGTGGTGGTTGTTAGCTGTTCCTGAGCCCACACCTGGGGTTCCCAAGATTCCCTTTCTCCTGGCATAACCGCAACAGGCTGTTTTGATCCGTAGAGTTTTTGTGGGCTGATTTCCAGAAGTCGATCACCAGATCTTTCTTCCTGCCCTCAGCTTGAAGCTCTGCTGAAACCTGTTTAGGGTAGTAGCACCAGGAAGTCCTCCCTGACAGATGGGTGGTCACACTTGAGGTGCATTGAACTGGGACCCGGGAGCAAACTCAGGTCTCCGGTGTGGAAGATGAGAATTTACCACGGAACCACCTACGTCCTTGTAAATTCTCCTGGAAGCGGGAGGGGCAGCGTCTCTGAGGTCCTGGCTTGCCCCAGAGGGAAGCAGGTCTGATCAGAGATGACTAGACCCAGCCCATTAAGCTGGTTTTTCTCAGTATTTCGACCTGGACCCGGTGGAGTATGGTGACTTTGTGTCCATGTCAGACTCCAGTAGCAAACAATGAGCTTACCTCACAGTCCCCAACCTGCCCAGCACAGGACGGGCATCCTGGAGGCCCCGAGTAGTGGAGACTGTAAGCACAAAGGCGGTGTTGGTCATTGATTGCCGCATGAGGAGTTGGCTGGGGCATAGGCAAAGGAGACAGACCCAGGCCTGAACACTTCATAGGCTCCAGGGGGTCGCAAATGGCTGGCCATCAACTATTCTAAATGTTGGTAATTCGAACTTGCCTGTTAGTGCTGCGCAAGAAAGGCCTGGTGATCTACGGCAAAGATTATAACCTTAAGAAATTTCTGGAGCAGTTCTACTGGGTGTCAGCATAAGTCAGCATCAACTCGACAGCAGCCAGCTTGGTGTGGGTGCGAGGTGCTGGGCAATGTGCTAAATCCTCTATAGAGATTTCCCTTTCAATATAGAACCAAGGACACAAGGGTCCTCAAATGGACTGTCACTCATGATGACCCCCTGTGTTTCCCAGCAGATTGGTGCTCCCTGGGGTTTTCAATGACTGGTTTTTTCAGAAGTAGATTGCCAGACCTTTCTTGTGCGATAGTTCCGGGTGGATTGCAACCTTTCCATTTGCTGCCAAGCACATTAACCTTTTACACCACCCTGAGACTCCCTCTGGATATTACGAATCCCGTCAGACAGGTGAAGAGCCTCTGTGTCTTGCCAAACTACCGAGCTACTAATACAATATGTGACAGAGCCAAGACTTAAACCCAGGCTGCTCAGGCTCCAGGGCCCATGCTCTCCACACGTGTCCTCTGCTGCCACTTGGCTTCCTCCAGCCTTTTCCCTGTCTCTTGGCTCCTGGGACTGTCTCATTGTTCCTCGGGGGGAGCCTCCCTCTGCCTATATGGCCTGCCTGGACTGAGATGTCCTTGGTTCTTTCCGTCTCCCCCACAAGGCTCATGGCAGGTCAGGTTAGACTCCCAACACTGGGCCATGTCCAAGGAAGGAGCAGTGAGCCCATCTGAAGGCAACATTGGTACATTTCCCAGTGCCCCAGGCTCCTGCTCCTAACATCCTGTGTCTTCCTGTGGATGTGCTAGCCAATGTCCTTTTCTGAACAAGTCAATGATTCAAGCCCTGCCAACTTCTCATTACCACCTGGCCAGACTCTCGGGTATAGCCGCACTTCACCTTCTTACTCTCCAGCCCCTGTCCGTGTCCTCGCCATTTCAAGCCTGCTCCCTCCTCTCCCACGGAAACCCTTACCCTAGCCTCTGCACTGGCCACCTACTAGCCTCAGAGGTCGTCTATGCTCAGAGCTGACCCTGCTGCTCCTTTCCTGTTCACAGCTCTGCCATGGCTCCCTAGTATCCCCAGCACAAAGTCCCAAACCCGTCAGTCTGGCCTTTAAGATCCTTTATAGTCTAGCATCTACCTGTTTGTCGGTCAGTCCCCTGTGTCCCTCCCTCACCCTTTGTACTTCCAGGACACCAGCCTAGCAGACTGGGCTGGTCCTTTTGTTGTTGCTCTGATTGTGATGAGAACCTACTCACCAAAACATTCGCCAGCACCATGTCCACATTTACAATTCACCGGCATTGAGTACAGTTTTCAGCTTGTAACACCATCGGGCATCCCTGATGGTGCAGTGGGCTAAGTACTAGACTGCTGACCACAGGGCTGATGGTTCAAACCCGCTGTCTGTTCCTGTAAAGATTTACAGCCTCGGAAACCCTATGGGGTAGTTCCGTTCCGCTCTGTCCTACAGGGTCACTGTGAGTCAGAATTGACTCGATGGCAGTGGGTTAGTTGTAGGTGCCACCATTCTTGTCCTTTTTCAAAAGATTTCACTGCTATTAACATAAACTCAAGTTCCCCCCCCTCCAAAGAACTCCCACCCCTGGTAACCATTACTAATCATTGTTGTGATTGTTGGGTGCCACAAAGTCCATTCTGACTCATAGGGACCCTCCCTATAGGATAGGGTAGAACTGCCCCATAGGGCTTCCAAGGCTGTAAGTTATGGCTGGAGCTAAACATTGGGTTAGCTCTGGTAGCGTAGTGGTTACGAATCGGGCTGCGAACCGCAAGGTCAGCAGTTCGAAACTACCAGCTGTTCTGTGGGAGAAAGTTGAAGCTTTCTGCTCCCGTAAAGATTTACAGCCTCAGAAACCCTGTACAGGGTCGCTATGAGTCGGAACTGACTCCATGGCACATAACAACAACAACAAACATTGCGTTAAGCAGCGTGTTAAATGTCGGCCTACTAACCGGAAAGATTGGAGGTTTGAACCCACTAGCCATTCATCGAAGTAAGATATGATCGTCTATTTCAGTAAAGATTTACAGCCTCCGAAACCCATGAGGGCACTCATGCTCTGTCCCATGGGATTGCTGTGAGTCAGAATCGACTTGGTACCAGTGAGTTTTGGTTTGAATGCTTACACATTGCCAGTTCTTTCTCCAAGGCTGCTGGATTTGCACAGCTGATCTTTGGGTGTTTCACTGATGTGCCACTGAGGCCCCTAATGGTTAGCTGAAGAGTTGATGCTTTAACAGTGCTTGATAAAGGCATTGCAGTGAGTGTTACTACACTGCATGGTTCTGACTCATAGGGAGCCTGTGTGGGGTCTCCTCATCTTTCTCCCATGGAGTGCCTGGTGGAATCCAACTGATGACTTTGTGGTTAGCCACCCCACACCTAACCCACTACACTACCAGGGCTCCTGGCCTCAGTGTATGAAACATGGCTAATTGAAACAAAAACAAAACAAATGGGGCAGGCTTCTCATGTCAACCATTATTTCCTGGTTTATATAATTTAATGAACCAGTGTTTCAAGTTGGAAACCAACTGTTGCTTAAATGCCCTTCCGCTGCGAAGTCAGCTGTCAGGGATCCTGGGAGCCAAGCCACTGATCTCCTTTCTGAACCTGGGGACATAACATAGAGTCTAATCAAGAGCAGGCAGGCTTGGAGCCCTGTCTTGATTCAGCTAGTGTGTGAGAGCTCTGGTCTAACTTTGCCGTCTCCAGGGGGAACACATACTTGAAATGATACCTTTTTTTTTTTGAAAAAAACAAGGGATGATAGTCCAAGGGAGAAAGGTGTAACAGTCTGCTTCCATAAAGATTTTCCACTGCTCAGCATACAGATAGGATAGTATGATGAAAGAATACAACCTTCGTAAATAGCTCTCCTGACTTTAAACCTGGGATGGGGGACCTTTTTTTTTCCTGCCAAAATTTATAGCATCATTCACGGGCCCTATAGAAGTATCAACTTTAAAAGTAACCTGCTATATTTGGGCAAATCATTTAATTAACTGACTCCTAATAATGTGTTGTGGAGTCCTGGTGTGGCGCTGTGGGCTAATGCGTCAGACTGCAAAATCGTTTGAACTGCAAGGTCAGTGGTTCAAGCTCACCAGCTGTTCCTTGAAAACCCTATACAGGGTCGCTATGGGTTGGAATCAACTCGACGGCACTTAACAACAACAACGTGTGTTACTATGGATTAATGCTCTGGACCACAAGGTCGGCAGTTCAAATTCACCAGCTGCTCCTTAACAACAACAGTGTTATGCCTGGAACTACAGTTGCTTTGCCGGGGATAGACCAAATGATTTCTCAGGCCTTATATGGCCCAGGACCGGGCAGTGTTTCCTTCCGTTGTGCATAGGGTCGCTATGAGTCAGTACCAACTCAATAGCACCTAACAACAACAACAACAACAACAACATATGGTCTTTGGGCCAGGTGTTACCCAGCCCTGCTTTTAACCCTTCAGTAACCCACTGTTCTGTTTGAATGCCTCTTGGTCTATGTATGGGCTCTTCGTGAACACAATTAAGTGTTCAGGAGATCCATTTTTCACAATGTTACCCTTACTCTGTTATGACCCGCACAAATGCTTTGCATAGTCAATAAAGCACAGGTAAACCTCTTTCTGATAGTCTCTACATTCAGCCAAGATCTATCTGATGCCAGCAGTAATGGGCCTCGTTCCATATCCTCTTCTGAGTCTGGCTTAAATTTCTGGCAGCATTTTGAACCATCTTCAGCAGAATTTTACTTGCATGTGATATTAATGATATTGTTCAATGATTTCCACACTCTGTTGGAATGAGTACAACTATGAGTCTGTTCCAATCAGTTGGCTAGGTAGCTGTCTTCCAAATTTCTTGGTATACACCAGCGCTGCTTGCATTTGTTAAAAGATTTCAATCAGTATTCTGTCAATTCCTAGAGCCTTGTTTTCCACCAATGCCTTCATTGTACAAGTATAGCTTGTACTTCTTCCTTCATTACTATGAGTTCTTGATCGTATACTGTCTCTTGAAATGGCTGAACATGAACCAGTTCTTTTTAATACAGTGACGGACTCTTGTGTATTCCTTCCATCTTCTTTTGATGCTTTCTGTATCATTCAGTGTTTTGCCCAATACAGAATCCTTCAATATTGCAAGGCTAGACCTGAATGTTTTCTTCAGTTATTTCAGCTTGAGAAATGTTGAGCTTGCTCATCCTTTTGGATTTCCTAACTCCAGGTCTTTGTGCATTTCATTATAACACTTGACTTTGTCTTCTAGAGCGGCCCTTTCAAATCTTCTGTTCAGCTCTTTTACTTCCTCCTTTCTTTCATTCACTTTAGCATCTCTATGCTGGAGAGCAAGTTTCAGAGTTTTTTCTGATATCCATTTTGATCTTTATTTCCTGTCTTTAATTTCTTGTATGATATCTTTGATGTCATCCCACAACTCTTTTGGTCTTTGGTCATTTGTGTGTAATGCATCAGATCTGTTCTTGAGATGGTCTCTAAATTCAGGAGGGATATGTTCAAGGTCATGTTTTGTCTCTTGTAGACTTGTTTTAATTTTATTCAGCTTCGGTCTGAACTTGTCTGTGAGTAATTGATGGTCTGTTCCAGTCTGCTCCGGCCTTGTTTTGGCTGATGAAATGCAGCTTCTCCACTGTCTCTTCCCACAGATGTCGTCTGTCTGAATCCCGTGCATTCCACCAAATGAGGTTCATGTATATGTTGTTTTAAAAAAAGCTATTATTAATGAATAAGTCATTGGTCTTACAAAATCCTATCCTACGATCTCCAACATCATTTCTATCACCAAGGCGATATTTTCCAACTTCTGATCCTTCCTCTTTGTATCCAAATCACCAGTAATTATCAATGTGTCTTGATTGTATGTTTCATCAGTTTCAGACTGAGGAAGGGGGCAGAATTCTTCAATTTCATCGTTACAGACTTTAGTGATTGGTGCTTAAATTTTAATAATAGTGGTAATAATTTGTTCTTGTAAGTGTATGGATGTTATCTGATCACAAATAACATTGTACTTCAAGATGGATCTTGAAATGTTCTTTTTGACAATGAATGAGTTGCCATTCCTCTTCCCTTCACAGCATAGTAAACCACATGATTGTGAGATTCTAAATGACCAGTACTCATTCATTTCAGCTCACTAATGCCTGGGATATTGATCTTTATGCATTTAATTTAATTTTTTGACAATTTGCAATTTTCTTAGAGTCATACTTCGTACATTTCACGTTCTGATTATTAAAGAATGTTTGCAGCTGTTTCTCCTCATTTTAAGTTGTGCCCATCAGCAAATGAAGGTCCTCAAAGCTCCTTCCACATCATTAAGGTCAAGTCAATTTTGAATAGGCAGCTCTTCCCAGTTGTCTTTTGAGTCCCTTCCAACCTGAGGGACTTACCTTCCGGCATTGTATTGAACAGTTCTCTGCTACTATTTGTAAGGTTTTTAGTGGCTAGCCTTTCAGAAGACGTCTGCTGCTTCTTCTAGTCTGTCTTAGTCTGGAAGTTCTGCTAAAACCTGCCCATGATGGGTAACCCTACTGGAACTTAAAAGGGTGAAAGAACACAACCTCGGCACACACCTTTTCTAACTTTAAAGCATTCAGTGGTCCCTTGCTTCGTTCGAATGACTGCCTCATGAGCACAATTAAGTGTTGTGAATACGCATTCTCTGCAATGTTGCCCATAGATTGTCACGCACCACACAATCGAAAGCCTTTGTGTAGTCAGTAAAGCACAGGTAAACAGCTTTCTGATATTCTCTGCTTTCAGCCACGATCCATTTGATGGCAGCAGTGATATCCCTCGTTACAATTCCTTGTCTGAATCCAGCTTGAACTCTGGCAGTCCCCTGTCAATGTACTGGTACAGTGATTGTAGAATAATCTTCAGCAATATTTTACTTGCATGTGATATTAATAATATTGTCCAGTGATTTCCACACTCCATTGGGTCACCTCTCTTTGGAATGGATACAAATATGGCTCTCTTCCAGGCAGTTGGCCTTCTAGATTTTCTGGCATAGACAATTGAGTGTCTCCAGTGCTGCATCAGTTTGTTGAAAGATTCCCATTTGTAGTCTTATCCATTTCCAGAACCTGGTTCTTTGTCAGTGCCTTCAGAACACCTTGGACGTCTTCCTTCTGTACCGTTGGCTCTTGATATGTTACCTCTTGAAATGGTTGAACACTGACCATGTCTTTTTGATACAGTGACTCTGTGTATTCCTTCCATCTTTTGATGCTTTCTGCATCATTCAATATTTTGCCCAGAGAACCCTTCAATGTTTCAATTCGAGGCTTGAATTTCTGCCTTACTTCCCTCAGCTTGAGAAATTCTGAGTGTGTTCTTCCCTTTGGGGTTTCTAACTCCAGATCTTTGTACATTTCATTATAATGTTTTTGGTTTGGGGTTGGTGACCATTAAGGTCATGAAATCAACTTAATGGGTCAGCATTTTTGCAAAAAAAACTTTTATAAAAATGTCAGTAGAGCATATATTGTTGTTGTTATGTGCGGTGGCGTCGGTTCTGACTCAGCAACCCTGTACAGGGTTTCCGAGGCTGTAAATCTTTACGGAAAGCCTCATCTTTCGCCTGCAGAACAGCTGGTAGTTTTGAACTGCTGACCCTGAGGATAGCAGCCCGAATCGTTACTACGCTACCAGAGCTCCTTAGAGCATATATGTTGTTGTTATTGTTGTGTGCCTTGGAGTCGGTTATAGCAAAGGTAAATATTGTGCGCTGAACGTTATATATTGAAGAGGTGTTATAATTATATGTAAATATCTGGCACATAGCTCTAATACTTGTCTGTCAATGTGTTGTATGTACTGTGGTGGCTTCCAGTTGCTGAGATGCTGGAAACGATGCCACTGGTATCTCAAATACAAGCAGGTTCCCCCGTGGTGGACAGGTTTCAGCGGAGCGCCCAGACTAAGACAGACTACGGAGAAAGGTCTGGCATTAGCTAGTGAACACCCGGTGAATCACAGTATTAGCGGAGACCTCCACTTGTTTACTTTGGACGGATCACCAGGAGGGACTGTCACGTTTGGTAAAGCGGAGGGCAAGCGAAGGCGACAGAAGCGGTCACAGAGACAGATTGCCTGCGTGGTTTATGAACTCAAACATACCAGGATGACGAAGAGGGCCCAGGGCCAGCCAGTGTTTCCTTTTGTTACATAGTCTTCATGAGTCGGGGCTGAGGCGACAGCATCTTAGACTTCGATCAGAAATGTGTTTCTCCCATGTGAGTTCTAGTATACAAAACCGTGACAACTACTCTTTGAAGTACCTTGTAAGTGTCCACAGAGTATGGGCGAGTATGTGAAATGGCGCACCTTTAGCCTGCGAATTCTAACCATTCTGTCCCTAGAGCTCTGTGACCCTGGAAAGACCCTGCCCTACGAACCCTGTGTGTGGGGGGGCGGGGAGAGTGGGGTTGCCCCCTAATCCAGAGGGGTTTATGGGCTTGACTTCTAGAGCCCAGTAGGCGGGGCTTTCCTGCCCCTGAGGTGGTGAGTGGGCGTGGCCCCAGAGTCTTGTGGGCGGGGCTTGTGATGTGATCTGGGAGGGAGGGATAGGTGAGCAGGTAGGTCGGGTCTGTGCCCCATGACCCCACTCCCTCTCCTCCTGGCTCTTACGCAGATCCGGGTGAAGCCGGACAAGGCTGGCGTGGTCACAGATGGTGTGAAGCACTCCATGAATCCTTTCTGTGAGATCGCAGTAGAGGAGGCGGTGCGGCTCAAGGAGAAAAAGCTGGTGAAAGAGGTCATAGCTGTCAGCTGTGGACCTGCGCAGTGCCAGGTGCTGGTGGGGGGAGAAGGGGCCTGGGCGGGATCTGGAGGCCTGGACGCCTTGAGGGAGGAGTGGCTGGGGATCAAGACTCCAGGGTCCCTCTGACCACCGAAGCTAAATGGAGGTCCTCCCCGTGGCAGGAGACCATCCGCACTGCTCTGGCCATGGGCGCAGACCGAGGCATCCACGTGGAGGTGCCGGCCACGGAGGCCGATCGCCTGGGTCCTTTACAGGTGGCCCGGGTCCTGGCCAAGCTGGCTGAGAAGGAGAAGGTGAACCTGGTGCTGCTGGGCAAGCAGGTGGGTGTGCCCAGTTCCCCCGCCACGTCCCTGCTTAGGAGGTAGCCCCAGCCCAGGGCTGTCAGACATGCATGCTGACTGAGCTGAGCAGTCAGAGTCTGCTCTGAATGTTCGAGAGCGCCCTCTGATAGAGGGTCTCCTGAGTGCAGTTGAAAGAGGTTGAGGACGATGGCCCATGTGGACACTGGGAGCCAGGCCTGTGGAGACTGAGAGGTGAGGCCAGCAGAGAGAAAATGTGGGAGGGAGGGGCTTGATCCCAGGGAGGCTGAAGGGAGTTGGCGGGGACTGGGGGTACCTTGGTAACTCCAAGGCTGTGGGAAACCCTACTGCAGTCTGGCTAGAGAACCGCCCCCTGGGTAGTGCTAGCAGTGTGTGCTAGACTTCTAACAGAAAGGCAGGTAGTTCAAAACCACCGAACAACAGCAAAACCATGGAAGAAAAATCTGGCAATTTGCTCCAATGAAGATTACAAAACCGCACTGCCAAACAGTCTAGTGTGATTCAGGGAACCTAGAGCGCGGAGGAGAACTGCCCCACAAGGCTTCTCAGACTTTATTTATGAAAACAGGTTGTCTCACCCTACCCCACCCCCGCCCCGCGAATGGCCGGTGGGTTCAAACCACCGACCTTTCCGTTAGTAGTCCAACGCTTAACCCACGGCGCCTCCCATGAAGATGACTGCCAAGGAAATCCCTGTGGGGCCGTTCCACGCCTTCATTGGTGGGGTCACCACGAGTTGCAGTGGGGATAAAGTTGCAGGGGTCCCTGGATCAGGGTATTGGCAGCTGGGTGTATTGAAGCCCCCTGCACTTGCTGGTGGGTAATCCTACTTTGACCTGGTGGTTTGGGGCAGTTCTGGGAGCGTGCCCGTCAGAGCACCCTCTGTGGTACATGTCAGCAGCACAACTCATACTGGTTTAGCTAAAACACAAAGGTCTAGGCTCCCATAAGATCAGGTTCAGGGCCACGCGTGAGCCCCAGGCGCCGCCCATCTGTGTTGGTTTAGCTAGTATCTTCTCACTCACATCCCACCTGCCTAGCGTCCCTAGCAGGAGTCCTGGGGTGGTGCCCACGGGTTAATAATGCAGGACTGCAAAATCAGTTTGAACTGGAAGGTCAGCAGTTCAAGGTCACCAGTCGCTCTTCGGAAACCCTGTACAGGGTCACTATGAGTCGGAACAGATTTGAAAGCACTTAACGACAACAAGCAACCCCGGTTCCCCGAGTGCCTGACACATCTTAAGTGAATAAGAGATTGGGAATGGGGGTATGATGTCAGGTGCCCTCCTGGGCCACTGGTCACCTTGCCACTCTTCTCTAGGGCTAAGTGGGGGAGTTGTTCTTGACTGGGACTCAGCAAACTGTGGCCCATGGCCACCATTTGTTTGCATAAATAAAGTTTTATTGACACAGCCATATCTGCTCATGTACTATTGTCTGGTTGCCTTCCAGCTACAACAGCAGACTTCAGTAGTTGTGACAAGAGACCCTCACTCAGCGCCTGAAGTATTTACCGTCACATCCAGTAGAGAATAAATTTGCCCACCACTGCTGTGGACAAATGTGAGACGCCCCATCAAACAATCTTCTCTTTACCTACTCAGGCCATTGACGATGACTGTAACCAGACAGGGCAGATGACGGCTGGACTGCTGGACTGGCCACAGGTGAGGCACATGTGCTTTGGGCAGAAGGTAGGCGCTTTCCTACCAGCTCCAGCAGAACTCGTGGGTGGCTCTTCATTGGTTCACTTCGAGTCACATGCCCATTCCTGAACCAATCACTGTCTTAGTTACTGTAGTTCCCTAACGCTGTGGTAACAGAAATACCACAAGTGCATGCCTATCACCATGCAAATCTGTTCTCTCACACTTGAGGCGCCTAGAAGCCCAAGTTTAGGGCACCATTTTTACAGCCTGAGGGTTGGCAAGAATCTGGAGCCAGACCACGGAGCACAGACACCAGCTTTTGGATGAAGCAGCAGTGGGTGACAACGGTCACATTATTCTGCCTCTCTCTGCCTTCAGCTTTCCTCATCTGTAAAATGGGCATAATAGCATTTATCTCATAGGGTGGTCGGGAGGATTTGATGGTGTAGCATGTTTAAAAATTGGGTTGAACACATCCTCACTGTTCCTACCAGGAGTCCTGGTATGGCATTGTAGGGTAAGCACTGGACTGCTACCCGCATGGTTAGTGGTTCAAACCTGCCAGCTAACTCCTCGGAAACCCTATACAGCATCGCTATGAGTCGGAGCCAGTGCAACATAACTTAACCACAATAGCAACATTGTTATCCATAGAGGTGGCTCAGTGGTAAGAGTTCCTACCTTCCATGTAGAAGACCCAGGTTCGATTCCTAGCTAGTACACCTCCAGCGCAGCCACTACCCGTCTGTCAGTGGAGACTTGTTTATTGCTGTGAGGCCGATTAGGGTTCAGTGGAGTAGGATGAAAGTTCAGGCATTCTGCTTTCCGAAACTCAGCCAGTGAAAATCTTGTGCATCACATGGGACCAACTCAGCGGCAGTAACGGCCAGGATTATTTAAGGAGCCATCGCTGCAAGACTTGGAAGTGGTAAGTTGTACCTGGGCTTCCAGAAAGAAATCAAACCACCCTCCCCGAGATTTTTGAAATTTCTTTCTGTGGTTTCCTCTTGTTTTTTGCTTTATTAGTATTATTGTTCATTAAAGGTTTTCTTACGAGTAATAAAATGAATAAAACCAGAATTCATCTTTAAAAACAGAAACCAATAACCTCTAGTTATGAAATGTAGGTTTACAGAGCAGATCATCTGTTTTAGTTTTAAAAAGTCATTTACTTCATGTCATTAATGACTACAGTCCCCTCCATATACCATCAATTAACAGTATTCACCTCTCCTCACTTTAGCTCTCGGCACTTCGCCCTGTGTCTCCTGCTCCCTTCATTTTCCCTCTGCCAACCACCCGCTTGTATATTGCCTGCCCCATCACCCAAGTTAACAAGTGCCTAGTGATAAGAACTGGACTGGGAACCACAAGGTCCATGGTTCGAGCCCACCAGCCGCTCCATGGGAGAAAGATGTGGTTGTCTGCTCCCTTGCAGATTTCAACTCGATGGCACGTTAACAACAACCCTACCCAGTGACTCCTTCTCCTTTCCCTCCCACGCATGGTGTAACCACCATAAAATGTTTCTTTTAGCAAGAAAATCTTTTCTTAACTTTTTACAATAGTGGTCTTCTACAATGTTTGCCCTTTTGTGACTGACTGAAGTCCAAATCTATCTCTTACTATGAAATGGACCATTGTTGGTGTTGTAAAGTGCTGTTGAGTCAGTTCCGCCCATAGCGACCCTGTATAGGATTTCCAAAGAGTAGCTGGTGACCTGGAACCACCAACCTTGTGGTTCAAATGACTTTGCAGTCCAGCGTGTTAGCCCACTAAATGGACTATGTTGTTGTTAAGTACCATGGAGTCGGTTCCGACTCATAGCGACCCTGCACAGGGTTTCCGAGGCTGGAAATCTTTACAGGAGCAGAATGCCTCATCTTTCTCCTGCAGAATGGCTGGTAGTTTCAAACAGCTGACCTTGAGGTTAGCAGCCTGATTCATAACCACTACGCTAGATCTCTTTAAATATTTTATTGTGTTTTTGGTGAACGTTTATAACAGCAAATTGGTGCCCATTTGAAAGTCTCTACCAAGTTGTTCCGTGATGTGAGTTAACTTTTCCCAGTGAATCATCCTTCTCTTTAGATGCCTTCTGGTTGTTCCATTTCCAGTACTCTAGGTTCCCTGCTCCTGCGTCTTCTCATCTTTGCTTTAGCCCATTTGCTTTTCTAACTTGAAGCCTGTAGGTCAGTGTGGTCATTAAGGTTTGTGTCAGCTTGGCTGGGCTTGTATTCTCAGTGATTTGGCAGTTAAGTGTAGTCGAGTTGGTCCCAGCTCACAGTGATCCTGTGTAGGGTTTCCAAGGAGCGGCTACTGAGTTTGAACCACCAGCCTTGCGATCCAGTGTTTAGTCTACAGAGCCCCCCCAGGACGAGACCTAATACAATGTAATGACTTAATGCAATTCCCATGAGGAGACCTAATGCAATGTAATCATCCCCATGGTGTGATGTGATATGAGCAGCCCTGATCTGGTGTAATTGTCCTCTGTGTTGTAAATTCTCTCTTCTGTGAGGCTAATGAGGCCAGATGCAGTCTGTAGGACTGAGTCAAGTTCACAGGAGAGATAAAGCAATTAAACAGGCAAAGAGCTCAGAGGGACCAACTAGCACTAAGAGAGAGGAACTGGGCGTGGACCCGGGCTCCTTACACTAGATCTAGAGGAAGACCCATGGAGATCTCAAAGGACTGCTGCCAGGAGACCAGGAAAAGAACTCCAATTCTCTGAATTTGGATGTCTAGCTCCTTAACTGTGAGAGGAATCGTTTTCTGTGTGAAGGCGCCCTCTTCTGGTACTTGTGTTACAACAGCTAGAGAACACTAGCTTCTCAGCCTGGAACCCGCTCTTCTTAACACTTTGACTCATGCCGGCGCGCGGTCAACAGTGGACTCATAAAGATAGCTTTGTGCCTGAAGGAGCCCTGGTAGCTCAACCGCTAGCTCCGTTGCTAACAGGAAGGTCAGTGGTTGGACTTCGCCAGCCACTTGGTGGGAGAAAGACCCTGCGGCCTGCTCCTATAAAGGTCCCAGCCTTGGAAGCCCTCTGGGGCAGTCTCTTCTACCCTGTAGGCTCACCACGAGTCAGAATCGTGCACCCCCACCCCCCAACAACAAGTGTGCCTGACCTGAATTAGTCTCACCCACTCCCCAGGGCACGTTCGCCTCCCAGTTGACGCTGGAGGGGGACAAGGTGAAAGTGGAGCGGGAGATTGATGGAGGCTTGGAGACCCTACGCCTGAAGCTGCCCGCTGTGGTGACCGCTGACCTGCGGCTCAACGAACCCCGCTACGCCACGCTGCCCAACATCATGGTGAGCACTTGGCAGGGCGGGCCCGCCAGGACCTCACTGGTCCAATGTTTCCCTGGTGGTCAGAGGGGGAGGCAAGTAGGAAGGGGTTACCGGCTCACCCTGGCTGACAGGAAGCTAACAGAAGGGAGAGCCCTGGGGGCACAGAGGGCACTGAGGGCGGCGTGTTGGGTTACTAACTGAAAAACTGAACGTCAATGACTCGAACCTATCAGCCACTCCATAGGAGCAAGGCAAGGACGTGTGCGTCCTCCCAGCAGCGTTGGGAATGCTATGGGGCAGTTCTGCTCAGGTCTGTCCAGTCGCTTCGAGCAGTGAGTCGGGGCCAGGAGGTGCAACATGGCAGGAGAGAGTCTCCGAGAAGAGGCAGGAGCGCTGGTAGTGCAGTGGGGGACAAGGTCGGCTGTTAGAACCTACCGGCTGCTCAGAGGCCATCTGCAGCCTCCTGGATTGCAGCCTGAGAAACCCTGTGGGCCTCTGAGAGTCTCAGTGGACTGGACAGTAACAGCTTTGGTTTTGGTTCCATTTGAGTTTAGCCGACAGGACTTTAATAGACAACCAAAAGGGCCCCTTTTCATTCGAGCCAGTGGGAAAAGTTCATTGGTTAATCTTGGCCCCATAAGGAGGATTCGTTAGGGCCTCTTGGTTCATTAGGGAAGGAAGGCTCCCTTCCTGATCTTTGTCTCCAGGAAAGAATCATTAAGTACTCTTGGCTAATAAGGCCGGGTTTAGGTGACTCTAGGCTAACAGGAAGAATTCACCGATCATCATTGCCGGCAAAGTGGGGTCACTGGCTTGTCTCAGCCAAGGGGGAGGAGTCCGTAAGTCATCCCAACCAATAGGAGGGTTTACTTGGGTCTTATCAACCAATAGGGAGGGTTCTATGGGTCCTATCGGCCCAAAGTCCACTGAGTAGTTACCACCAAAAGGATGGGTTCACCAGTCCATTCCTACTGGTTAAGAGCTGACCAGGGCAGCCGACTAAAGGTCTGTGGTAGTATGAACCAGGTTATCCCAGCCAACAGGAATTGTCCTCAGCAGGTGTGGCCCTGTGTGCGGGAGAGTGCGTAGGTCCAGAAGGAGTCAGCCGTGGGAATGACTGCAGACGTGGGTCTCGTGGGAAGGAGGCTTTAGGCGTCCTGGGCAGCAGGTGGGGTGGGGGCTTCAGCTTTGTCTTCAGCCGCCCTGTGAACCGTGGCCTCCCCTATGCAGAAAGCCAAGAAGAAGAAGATCGAGGTGATCAAGGCGGGGGACCTGGGCGTGGACCTGACCTCCAAGCTCTCTGTGGTTAGTGTGGATGACCCACCGCAGCGCTCAGCCGGCCTCAAGGTGGAGACCACAGAGGACCTGGTGGCCAAGCTAAAGGAGATCGGGCGGATCTGAGCCCCCTTCCTGAAACTGCAATAAAGCCATGACTCTGTCTGATAGTGGTCTCTGTCCCCTCATTCCCTGGAAGCCCGTTCTTTGATTCATTCAACAAACATTTATGCAAACCTCCTGTTTACCAGGCCCTGTGCTGGGCGATGCAGGGGACCCAGGTGAGTGGCATCAGTCCCTGCCCTTGAGAAGCTTCCAAATTGAAGAGGAAACAGACATGGGCCAAGGTGGCCATATTGCAGATGGTAAATGTCATGGAGACGGCATTGGACACTTGGGAAAATCTAGTTGGGACACATGGCTTAGCCTGTGGGGTCAAAATAGACTTCTCAAAGAAGGACATCTAAGCTGGGTCTTATATATTTTTAATAAAATCTTACTGCGTTTTCTATGAAAGTTTCTGCCACAAATTAGGTTTCCATTTGACAGCTCCTACACAAATTGTTAGTGACATCAGTTACATTTTTGATAGTGTATCACCATTCTCTCACGTTGCATCTGGTTCTTCCCACTTAAGCCGAGTCTTTAATTAAAGACCGATGGGGCTGAGGTAGAGGGCTTTTCTCCACAAAGTGTTTGCTGAGGTCCTCACGTGTCAGGTCTCAACAGAGAGTGAGGATGGGAGCTTCGGTTCTGGGGAGCAAACCTGAGGAGCAACAGAGGAAGGACAGTCAGGAATTCTGAGATGGAATGTGTGGCTGCATGCCTCTTTGAACAACTACCTACTTTGCCACAAGACCAAAAGGGCTGGATGGTGCTCAGCTACCATGACTGAGCATTGTGATCAAAGATTCCATATAAAAATTCTGATCACAAGGGGGGAATGTAGAATTTCCAATTCTCTTGGAATCCAGATTTTTGGGAGCCCTGAGATCGTCTTTAAACCAAAAATATCTCTTGAAGTCTTCTTAAAACTAGACAACAGTGTAGCTTAGCAAGTAAAGGATGTCTCTGCCTTGAGCATTGTGTTCTTTTAAAGATGTGTCCATATAGGATCAAATGGACCCCAGATAGGAACCTTAGTGGGCAGTGAGGCTGAATGAGGGAGGAACAACTCAGAAAAGCACATCTGGCAATGTGTTTGTTTCCAGTGGGTGCCCTAACAGTGTCACAAGTGGGGTGTTTTAAAACAAAAGAAATGTTCCCTTCTAGTGTTCCGGAGGCTGAAAGCCTGGAATCAGGGTGTTTGCTGGGCTGTGCCCTCTCCCAAGGCTCTAAGGGAGGATTTTTCCAGCTTCTGGTAGCTGCAAATGTGGATCACATGTTTCTTAAACTGTTTATTCTGAATTGGATGAAGATTTACAGAGCATTCAGTTTTCCATTCAACAGTTCATACACATTCTGTTTCACATCACTGATGTCACCTCAATGGAACATCACATATTCCACTTCCTGCCTGTGTTTTCTGTCTCCATTCTTCCTTTCCTAACCCTTCTGGACTTTGCCCTTGGGTGAATGATGCCCTTTAGATGTCACATGGTTGATTATTCTAAGGTGTGTTTCACTCACTAGTCTTTTTCGTCATGATCTTGTAACTCCTACCAAATGATTGGATACAGTTATGCAGATAAGGTTCTTGTGACCCACCAAGGGTATTGGACAGCTTGCTAAGGATGCAAATAAAGTGGAAGGCACCTTTAACAGGGGTTGTTGTTATGTGCTGTGGAGTCTGTTCCAACTCATGGCAACCCTGTACAGGGTTTCTGAGGCTGTAAATCTTTATGGGAGCAGAAAGCCTCATCTTTCTCCCACGGAACAGCTGGTAGTTTCGAACTGCTGACCCTGAGATTTGCAGCCTGATTCGTAACCACTACGCTGCCAGAGCTCCTTATTTATAGGGGTGGGATTATGCAAATAAGGTGTATGGGACCTCAATGAGGGGATTGGTCCGTTTTGCCAGCTTCACTAGGACCAAGAAGAGACAGGAGCTGCCTGTGTCCTTTGGAAGCAGGGTTCCTGTGCTGGGAACCTTGTAGACTTGAGGCTGAGCTGTAAGTGTCCACACTGGACATGGAGAAATGGCAGCAGAAGACCAGTACAGGATGGCACAGTGGGCGTTCTAGCCCATGGAGCCAGGTGGTTCCAGTGGGCATGCTGACACATGGGCTTAGAAAGCTGAGCATCTTTGGGGAGGAGGCTTTTCAGCAAACAGGTGCCCGTGGGCACTTAACTGGCAGAGCTATAGAGCTTTGTAACACTGGCCCAAGGAAGGCAGAGATGAGGCCATTTGGCAAAGAGAGAGTAAGATGCCTGCCTGTGGGCATGTCTGAGAAGCTGTCTGGATGGAAGAACATATGCTGTGTCTTTGCTAATCATGAATTAGAGCTTGTTAAACTCCCTTATGAACTCTGTAATTGTGAGGATTGTGTGTGAGTTCTGTGTGGCTATTCCAGCAGAGCAGAGGAGTAGAGAGAGGGCCGTGAGAGGGAGGCGGGCTGCTGCTGGAATGGGTGCCAACGTTGGAGAAGAGGTGTATGACCACCTCAAAGGAATCAGCCTTGGGTTGCTGTTGCTACCGGTGGTCTCTCTCTCCCTCCTGAAGTTATTGTTAAGTGCTTGTCGACTCGGTCCTGACCCATAGCAACCCTGTATAGAGTTTCTAAGGAGCGGCTGGTAAGCTTGAACCACTGACCTTGCAGTTCAAACGGCTTTGCAGTCTGGCACATTAACCCACAGCACCACACCAAGAAGAGGCCAAACACCTCTGCCACACCATTTTGAAAAGTCACATTCACAAATACCAGGGTTAGGATGTGAGTGCTGTATCTGCCAGCTAAGGATAGGAACAGAACGGTGTAGTGGTTAAAGGAATGGGTTCTGAGGTCCCCAGGTCCTGGGTTCAAATTCCAGGTTTGCCAGGCTCTGGCTTTGTAAGGACCTTCAACAAGTGACTACCACCCTCAGCCTAGGATGAAGTTAGTAATAACTGTTTTAGTTATCTGTTGCAGTGAAACAACCCACCCATCCACTGCTGTCAAATTAATTCTGACTCACAGCAACCCTATAGGGCAGTAGACTGGCTTCCTAGGGCAAACCACACACCAACTGAACAGTTTGTCCGTGTGCAGGTCCGTGATATTGATCACGTTATTCAATCATTTTCACCTTCCTGTTCTGAACAGTTTGTCCGTGTGCAGGTCCGTGATATTGATCACGTTATTCAATCATTTTCACCTTCCTGTTCTGAGCTGTGCCTTCCTCAGTGACAGTCTCGTGACTCCCTAGACTTCCTGTCTACTTCCCAGTTGCTAGTTTCAATTTGAGATGCCAATAGGAAACCCATTGCCGGTGAATCGCGAATCAATCCCAACTTACAACGACCCGATAGGACAGGGTAGAAACAGCCCCAGAGAGCTTCGGAGGCTGTAAATCTTTACGGAAGCACACAGCCTCATGTTTGTTTCTACAGTGGTTGACCTTTGAACCACTGACCTTTCTGTTAGCAGCCAACTACTTAACCATGGCACCACCAGGTCTCCTTTATGTATTTAAAAGTACTATACGTTCATTAAGGAGCTCTGGTAGCGTAGTGGTTGCGAATCACGCTCCTAATCTCAAGGTTAACAGTTCGAAACTACCAGCTGTTCCGCGGGAGAAAGATGAGGCTTTCTGCTCCCATAAAGATTTACAGCCTCGGAAACCCTGTACAGGGTTGCTATGAGTCGGAACTGACTCCACGACACATAATAACAACCACATCTTAGCATTATTTTTTAAGCATAGTGAGCACTTGTCTGGGGTCAGTTTAGAGACTCTAAGCCCAGAGTTGGGTGGTAGAGAAAGCTTTTAGAATGAGTAGCAGTCCAAGCATCCTGTGTCGGGTCCATGTCCTTCCTCTCTGGCTGTGTAACCCCCAACAGGTCCCGTGACCTCTCCCAGAAACAGATCCCTGATCTGTCAAATGGTTTTCAAAAACAACATCCAGCTCACAGGGGCGTTCCTGAGGGTTCCACCAGATGCACACGGGAAGCATTTAGCACGGTTCCTAGTGCTTAATAACCAGTAATTACTATTATTGTTCTTAATAGGGTGAGACCCGAAGGACAAGTTGTGGTTAGCTAGGCTGGAGGAGGGCAGGGAGTGAGAGAGAGCATGGCAGGCAGAGGAAACAAGACCACGCAAAGAGTGGGAGGTGACCAAAGGGGCAAGTGGTTCAAAGAGTGAATGGAGTGGGTGGGTCTAGGGCAGGCAGGGTTTAGACATTCTGCTGAGGAATTTGGGCTCTCTCCTGAGGGCAATGGGGAGCCATGGGAGGTATGTGAACAAAGGAGGAGCAGAAACCCAAGTGTGTGTGTAGAAAGACTCTCTGGCCCACATGGGGAACTAGAAGGACTAGGGGTCAGAAAGGAAGCTGGGGGAGGGTCAAGGGGGAGAAGACCTGAGCAATGAGCACAGAAAGAAGAGATTTGGGGAGCAGGAGGGACAAAGGATGGGGAGTGAGGAGGACAGGATTGAGGATACCTGGCCCGGTGACTGCTGAGAAGGCTGGGGGACCGTCCTGGACGGTGCTGAGCTCAGGGGGATGGGGAGGTGCTTGTGAGGGGCCTAGGAGGACATGGGGATGCAGCCCTGGGTTGGAGGAAGGCTGTCTGACCTGAAGATGGTGACTTGAGACTTGGGACTTGAATCCTGAGCGTGACAGGGAGCCACGGGTGAGTTTGGAGGTACAGACGAATAAGGTCAGACTTCAGTATCATAGGCTGCCGTGGAGGCGGATACTGGGGGCACAGGGTAGGAGGCTGATGAGGAGGCAGCCTGAGTTGAGACCAGCAAACGTGGGGTTCTCTGAAACTGCACCTCCTCCTCCAGGAAGTCTTCCTGGCTTAAGTCCACTCTACTTTATTTACAACTGGTACTCAGTTCTCAAAGGAGCTCTGGTAGCGTAGTGGTTACGAATCAGGTTGCGAACCTCAAGGTCAGCAGTTCGAAACTACCAGCTGCTCCATGGGAGAAAGATGAGGCTTTCTGCTCCCGTAAAGATTTACAGCCTCGGAAACCCTGTACGGGGTCGCTATGGGTCGGAACCGACTCGACGGCACTTAACAACAACAACAACTCAGTTCTCAAGAATCTCTGGTGGCACAATGGTTAAGTGCTCAGCTACTAAAGAGTTGGTGGTTCAAACCCATCCAATGGCACCACAGGAAAAAGACCTAGTAATCTGCTCCCATAAAGCATGCTGTTAGGTGCTATCCAGTCTGTGCCTACTCACAGGGGCCCTCTGCCTGGTCCTACACCAACCTCACTATCATTCCATGTCTGAGCCCATCGCTGCTGCCACTGTGCCAGTCCCTCTCATTGGGGATCTTCCTCTTTTTCGCTGACCCTCCACTTTACCAAACACGATGTCCTTCTCCAGGGACTGGTCCCTCCTGATCACATGTCTGAAGTATGACAAAGTCTGACCATCGGGCTGTTGTACTTCTTCCAAGAGAGATGTGTTCTTTCTTCTAGCAAGAGAAAGGTCACCAAGAAAACCTATGGGGCAGTTCTACTCTGTCATCTGGGGCCCCTCTACTGGGCACCCAACTATGACAGTGTTCAGTTCTCACCCTCCTTCTCCCAAGAGTCAAGCTGGGCTCCCCCACCCCCACCATGGGGCCAGCTGATGAAGGGCATGTGGGGTGGGGTAGGGATGGGGTTGGGGAGACTGGCACCTCCCACTGGGTCTGGCTCCCTTACCCGCCCAGGAAGCTACCAGTCCTGTTGGACTTGTCCTGCCCGGAAAGGACGGGCATAGGCCTTGGGTCTCTTGCCAGTGTCCCTGTGGGTATGGCCAGTACTATGGACCTCTCAAGGGCTCTGTTGCTGTTCCTGCTCTTAGGTAAGTTCCCTGCCTACCCCTTCCTCACAAGCCCCCTTTCCCAGTAACCTCCTACAATATGCCCCCTCCTATCCTCGGCAGTATCCAGAGCCTGGGTCCTGGCCTTCAAGACCTCTTCCTCCAGACCTCAGCGAACCAATTTCTCCTCTGCCTCACAAAGTTCTTCCGGGGGCCTGGATTGGAAAGTTCCTTCCAGCAAAGGCAGCAGCTTGACACTTCCAGATGGCTCTCCAGGTCCCAACTCCTTTGCTGATATCCCTGGTTCCAAATGGTTGACGGAGGCCCTGAATTCCAACGACCTGTCTGGGTCCCTCTGGGTCAATGTTTCTGGTGCTGAGGACCCACATTTGGATCCCACTTTCTCTGAAACCTTTGAGTCTGAAACTGAGTCCCAAGGTCCTGCCAAAGATCCCGAGCCCTCCTTCCCCGTTAAGACGCCAGCTTCCAATGTTGCGATTCAAGTCCCGGATATTAAAGTCGGTTCAAAAGTCTTACCTGATGACGTTAGAGTCTCTGCTCAGAGCCCGCAGTCTGGAATTTCTGTCCAAGCCCATCAAGCCTCAAGCTTCCCTCAGCAGGTGGGGGGACCCCTAGCGGTGCTGGTGGGTACTACCATTAGACTCCCCCTGGTTGCTGTCCCTGACCCCGGCCCGCCTGCCACACTGGTGGTCTGGCGTCGGGGCTCTACCGTGCTAGCAGCCGGGGGCCTGGGGCCAGGGGCCCCACTCATCAGCCTGGACCCTCCTCATCGAGACCGCCTACGATTCCAGCAGGCCGGAGGGGGTCTGGAAGTCGCCTTTGCCCAGCTGGGAGACGCTGGGGTCTACACAGCAGAGGTCATCCGGGCGGGTGTCTCCCGGCAGATTCGGGAGTTCACGGTAGACGTGTATGGTAAGTGGGGGGCTGGGAGACCTTGGGTGAATCCACAGCGTTTTTTCTAAGGACTTGTTTGCATAAAGTCCCCGAAACTCAACCCATTGCCACCAAGTGTATTTTGATTCATATCGACCCTGTAGGAGACAATAGCTGCCCCGCATAGGGTTTCCTGGATTGTAAATCTTCCCGGGAGCAGACTGCCACGTTTTCCCTCTGTGGATCAGCTGGTGGATTTGAACTGGTGACTTTTGAGTTAGCAGCTGAGCACTTAACCACCAGAGCCACCGGTGCTCTCCATCATGCATTTAAAATAAATACCCTTTGTAAGAGAATCCTGTAGAAAAGCATAGAACCGCCTCACAAGGGTTCCATGTTGTTGTTGTGTGCCTAGGAGTCGGTTCTGATTCATACCGACCCTGTACAGGGTTTCCGAGGCTGTAAATCTTTACGGGAGCAGAAAGCCTCATCTTTCTCCGGCGGATCAGCTGGTAGTTTCGAACTGCTGACCTTGCTGTTCACAGCCCGATTCGTAACCACTACGCTATTTTTACCGGAGCACACTGCAGCTTTTTCCCCATGGAACAGCTGGTAGGTTTGAACCATAGACCATTCAGTTTGCAGCTAAGCACTTTTCTTCTTCTTTTAAACATTTTGTTGTGGTTTGAATATGAGTTTACAGAGCACCTTCATTTCCCATTCAATCATTTGTACACATTTTGTTTCGTGACATTCCTGATTTGTCATTCTAAGGGTAGCAACACGCTTCTCACTTCCTCTCTTGTGTTTGGTGGTGGTGGTAGTTATGTGCCTTGGAGTCAGAACCTACGGTTTCTGACATGAATTCTTTCTTGCCTTCTGAACTTTGTTAGGGGGCAGGTGCTACCCCTTTTGTCTCCTATGGTTGATTGAGGCATGCGGTCCTCCTTATGGGTCATATTATAAGTCAGGCCTTTGGCCAACAGATGATACACCAGGGGAGTGGGCTCAATTCTAGCTTTGAGGAATGTTTAAGGGCCACACAATCTGAAGGGCTCCACTAGTCCCCATCAGACCCATAATTTTTTTTTTTTTTTTTTAAGTTTTATTCTACCTTTTTCTCCCACTCTGCCCAGGACCATCTTTTTATAATTTCAGTCAGAGATGGTCAGGTCTCTGGGCACCATTCAAGTCCTCAACTCTCAGGATAATGGGGGCTGAAGTTTACGCCGTCCACTAGTTCTTTGGACTGATTATTTAGTTGCGTCTGATTTTCTTCCCTCTTCTTTGCTCCAGACATGGGGAGACCAATAGTGGCACCTTAGATAGCTGCTCTCAAACTTGAGGACCCTGGTGGCTACTCACCAAAATTCCTACGTTGTCAAAGTAGGAACTTTGGTGACAAAGAACACTTGGTCAACCAAGTACTTTAACCACTGCACCACCAGGACTCCTTAAGTTTCCCAAGGAAGGGCTTAAAGGGGCTAATGGGCAAGACATGGGCGCCTGAGGGACCTTGGGTTTGGCCAAGGGACGTCAAGATTCCTGATGCCTAGGGGAGGAGTCTGGAGGGTGCAAACTCATGGGTTTGTGACAGGTAAGTTCTGGGGGGCCAGCTTCCCAGTCAGGTCCTCAGTTGTCCTTCTCCCAGAGCCCTTGCACAAGCTGGCGGTGCAGCCCCAGGCCCCGGAGACAGAGGAGGGGGCAGCGGAGCTTCAGCTGCGCTGTGTTGGGTGGAGACCAGGGCAAGGGACGCTGAGCTGGAGCCGGGACGGACGCTCTCTGGAGTTGGCGGACACTGAAGGAGGGGAACCGCCCCGGATTCGCGTGGAGGGTGACCAGTTGGTCATTGGGCGTCCGGTGCGCAGCGACCATGCCCGGTACACCTGCAGCGTTCGCAGCCCTTTCGGCCACACTGAGGCAGCGGTGGACGTCAGTGTCTTCTGTGAGTGGGGCTACGTCTCACTTCAAGCTGGGGACCAGAAGACTGAGGGATTCGTCTCCAGCGACTTGTGAATCCGCCCTCTTCTCCACGCAGACGGTCCGGACCGGCCAGTCATCAAGGTGTCCTCCGACCGCGACATCGCTCCGGCTCTTTTTGTCACCGCGGGCAGCAACGTCACCCTGCGCTGCAGCGCCGCCTCGCGGCCGCCTGCAAACATAACCTGGAGCCTGGCCGACCCCTCCGAGGTTGCTGTGCCCGCCGGTCCGCGCCTCCTGCTGCCTGCGGTCGGGCCAGGCCACGCAGGTGCCTATGCCTGCCTGGCCGCGAACCCGCGCACCGGCCACCGCCGCCGCTCACTGTTCAACCTCACCGTGGCAGGTTAGTGCGGCCAGGGCGGGACCGAGTCAGAGGAGTGTGTACTTGGGCAAGAGGGTGGGACTAGTGTGGAGAAAATCATCAGGGGCGGAGCTAACGGGCAGGGGGAGGAGCCAGCAAGGGGCCGGGGTACCTGGGATGGGGTAAGACAAAGCTGAAGGGAAGGGTGCCTGGAGGAGAAAGCAGGTCCAGTAGAGAAGAGCGGAGCTAACGAAACCCAAACTCACTGCTGTGGAGTCGCTTTCTGCTCCCGTAAATATTTACAGCCTCGGAAACCCTGTACAGGGTCGCTATGAGTCGGAACCGACTCTACGGCACATCACAACAACAACAACAACCCTTATAATCTTCAGGGAAACAGACTTTTCCCTGTGGAGCGGCCGCTGACCTTTGGGTTAGCAGCTGAGTGCTTTATCCACTGCATGGCCAGGTTAACCAGGTGGATTAGAAATCTGACTAGGAGCCACCGAAAAGAGCAGGGCCAGCAAGGAAAACCGGGTCATCAAGGGTGAGGGAATACCTGGGGAGGGGAGGGACACGGTGGGAGGGTGGCCAGGAGAGCGCTGGTGGGGAACATCTGGAAGAGGGTGGGGCCAGGAAGCGTGCAGGGATTCCGGGAGAGAGGAGTGAGATAGGACGAAGCCAGAGGGAAGAGTGACCGAGAGAGTTGGGACCAGAAAGGAGGAGGAGATGGACCACGAGTAGGCAGAGACGACAAGGAAGGGCGGAGATGCCAGAGGGAGGGACGGGGTCAGTGAGGACAGACAGGTGGCGATTCCCAGAAGGGGCGGGATGCCCAGGAGAAACTAGGGACCTAGGTGCACGATGGGACAAAGGAGATGTGGATAACCAGGGAGGGGAGGGGCTCTCCAGGAGGCGGGGATACCTAGTGAGGAGGCGGGTGCTCAGGAGAGAGGCGGGGCCATCAGGAAGGGTCTGGCATAGCCGAAGGAGGGGTGGGCTGAGGTGGAGGTTCTCTGAAGCGGATGTGTGCCCAGGAGAAGAGGTGAAATCATCAAGATTACCTGAAGAGGGGGTGGGGCTAGCACTGAATGGGAGGAAATTCCTGAGCAAATAACGATGTCAGCAAAGTAGACAGCAAAGTTGAATGACAATGAGTGACTGTCAGAATGGGAAGGGACAAAGAATTTATCTGGGGAAGGGGGCGGAGACACTAGAGATGGGGCGGGGTCATCTAGAAAGGGGGTGTGGCAACAAGGGTGTTTATACCTGGGAGACAGCGAGAGGTCAGCAAGGAAAGGTTACTTGTGGCGGAATCCAGGAGGGGGCGACGTTACCTGGTAAAAGGGGTGGAGCTTGAAAGGAAGGGGCGGGGCTATCTTTGGAAAGCAGAATCGGGTGTGCGAAGACCCACAGTGCTTTGGCACCTCTTTCCTAGGGGCAGTCAGTGGGAATGGGGGCTGCCCCCTTAGGGGTGGAGTTACTGGTCAGAGAAGGTGGGTTCAGCCAAGAGGATGGGGCGGGGCTAACATGTAGAGGGTTCAGTTTAGACGAGGAAGGGGTGGAGTCAACATACCAAGAGATGGGGTTGGAGGAGTAAGTGAGAGGGGCCGCATCCTTTGTCCGTATCTCCCCCTTCCTTCTGCAGATCTGCCCCCCGGGTCCCCACAGTGCTCGGTTGAAGGAGGACCGAGGGACCGAAGCCTCCAGTTCCGCTGTTCGTGGCCTGGCGGGGTCCCTGCCGCTTCTCTGCAGTTCCAGGGTCTACCAGAGGGCATCCGTGCCGGACCCATGCCTTCTGAGCTCCTGATAGCTGTCCCCGCCCGTCCCCAGCTCAGTGGAGTCACCCTCACCTGCCTGGCTCACCACCTGGTGGCCACGCGAACATGCACCATCACTGCAGGTGAGGGGGAAAGGGCCTTCTTCCTGTTCCCGCGAAGGGAGGGACTTTTCCTTTGAATCTTTGGGACTTTATGAAGGCTCTTACGAAAACCAAGCCAGTCGATTCCAATTTAGGATCCCTGTAGGATCTGTGTCGGAACCCACTCAATGGTAATGGGCTATGGTTAGTTTTAGGGTTTCCCAGGCTGTAATGTTTATGGAGTCCTGGTGTGGCGCTGTGGGTTAATGCACCAGACTGCAAAGCCGTTTGAACTGCAAGTCGGGTCAAGCTCACCAGACCCTGTATAGGGTTCCTTGGTTCCTCGGAAACCCTATACAAGGTCGCTAATTGGGTCGGAACCGACTCGATGGCACTTAACAACAACAACAATCTTTATGGAAACAGTTGGCCAGCCGACTTTTTCTCCTGTGGAGTGGCTGGTGAGTTTGAACCGTGAATCTTCTGGTTAGCAGCTGAGCACTTAACCGTTGCGCCACCAGGGTCCCTGTAAGTCCCGGGTGAGGATTTGACTTGTTCACCAGCTTCTCCCATTCACACAGAGTCCCCCCGAGACGTTGTGCTGCATCCAAAGGTGGAAGAGACGCGCTCCGGGGAGGCAGAAGTGGCATTGGAGGTCGCTGGCTGCCCCTTACCCGCACGAGCATCCTGGGCTAAGGAAGGACGGCCCTTGGCTCCTGGCGGCGGAGGCCGCCTGCGGCTCAGTCAAGACGGGCGCAGGCTCCTCATTGGCAACTTCAGCCTGGATCGTGACCTGGGAAATTACTCAGTGTTGTGCAGTGGGGTGCTGGGAGCTGGCGGTGACCAGATCACTCTTATTGGTGAGCCCCATTCTTTCTCAGAACCATTGATTTAGAACCCGTTCCCAGGAGTTCTTACTCCCAGCCCCCTCCTCCTTCAGACCCAGGAGTCTGGACCCCTAGTCCCTTCCTTCCTGGATCCAGGAGGCCTGACTCCCGGCCCCCTCCCTCCCTCAGACCCTAGAGTCCTGACCCACAGTCCTTACTCCCTTGGACCCAGGAATCCTGGTCCCCAGCCCCCTCTTCCTTGAGACCCAGGAGTCCAGACTCCCAACCCCTCTTTCCTGAGAGGAGTCTGGACCACTAGTCCCCTCCTTTCTAGACCCAGGAGTCCTGGCCCACAGTCCCTCCTCTCTTGGACCCAGGAGTTCTGACCCCACCCAATTTCATTCCCCCAGGACCCTCAATCTCCTCATGGAGGCTTCAGAGAGCCCGCGATGGGGCCGTGCTGACCTGGGACGTGGAGCGTGGGGCGCTGATCAGTGGCTTCGAGGTCCAGGCGCGGCCAGAGGGGCCTAACCTTGGAAGAGTCACTGTCCACAAGGACTGGGTCTCCCTGCTCATCCTGGGACCTCGGGAACGCTCCGCTGTGATGCCCCTCCCCCCTCGGAGCCCTGGGACTTGGGTCTTGCGGATCCTGCCCACGCTGGGGGGTCAGCCAGGGACCCCCTCACAGAGCCAGGTTTACCAGGCTGGTGAGTTGGGGCCTTGGGCTCAATCTTGGCTTCCTTCTTGCTCCCCAGCAAACCGTTCTGTCTGTTTTCATTGAATTCCCCTTCTCCCCCCAACCTCTAAGGAGCTCTGGTAGCGTAGTGGTTACGAATAGGGCTGTGACCCGCTAGGTCAGAAGTTTGAAACTACCAGCTGCTCCGCGGAAGATGAGGCTTTCTGCTCCCTTAAAGATTCACAGCCTTGGAAACCCTGTGCAGGGTCGCTACGAGTCAGAACTGACTCCACAGCACACGGCCACCACCACCCCAACCTTTAGATATTGGAAGGTCTCAGGGCTCGGGCCTCAAAACTCTTTCCTGTTTGTATTCCTGCCCCATAGAAGTTCTGGTAATGCCTTAAAGAGCTCAATTTCTAGAGTGAGCAGTTCAAACCACCAGTCACTCTTAGGGAGAAAGATTCACAGCCTTGGAAACCCTGTGGAGCTGGTCTATTCTGTCCTATAGGGTCGCTATGAGAGCTGTGGCTTTGGGGATTTGTTTGTTTGTTTCATTTCCATCTGATCTTACGCATTCTTGAGTTTTTCTTAGTTGCTGCCCAGTCTATTTAAACTCATGGTGACCCCACTTGTGCAGGATAGAACTGTGTTCTCTAGGATTTTCACGGTTATGACTTTTAGGTAGCAGATTGCCAGACTTGTATTCCTAGGTGCTACTCTGTGGGTTTGAACTCAGCTAGTAGCTGAGGGCTTAATGGTTTACACGACTCTGTTATGGCTTTAAATATGATTAATGTGCATGTATCTCCTGGTTTAGTTATCCAGAGCTGCTGTAAGAGAGAGGAACCCTGGAGGCACAGTGGGCTGTGTTGACTGCTAACCACTAAGTCAGCAGTTCAAACCCACCAACCGTTTCTCAGGAGAAAGATGAGGCAGTCTGCTTCTGTAAAAATTTACAGCCTTGGAGATCCTCTATCTACTTTATCCTATAGGGTCATTAAGGAGCTCTGGTAGCGTGGTTACGAGTTGGGCTGCCAACCTCAAGGTCAGCAGTTCAAAACTTCAGCTGTTCCACAGGAGAAAGATGAGGCTTTCTGCTCCTGTAAAGATATACAGCCTTGGAAACCCTGTACAGGGTAGCTATGGGTAGGAACCGACTCCATGGCACATAACAACAACATAGGGTCATTATGAATCGGAATCGACTCCAGGGCAGTGGGCTTGTTCTTTGCCCCCCTCTTTCCTTCCTTCCTTCCTTGTAACAGAAAGACCATAACTGGATGGCTTTAAAAAATAGAAATCTATTTGCTGACAATTCATGAGGCTAGAAGCGGAATGCAGGGTACTGGCTCTGGGGGAAAGGTCTCCGTCTTGGCTCTGGGGGAAGGAAGGTCCTTGTCTCTTCCTGTTTCTGGTCCTCGCTGCCTTGGTGATCTCCACGTGGCCCAGATCTCCCCCCACATGTGCTTCTAGTCTCTAAGCTGCTCTTTTTATAGCTCAAAAGTGAGTAGTTTAAGACATCCCCGATGCTGGCATGGCCTCATTACCATAATAAAGAAAACGCTATTCCCCAATAGGATTACATCCAGAGGCATCCAAGCCCAACCAAATTCACTGCCACTGAGTGGGTTCTGACTCAAGGCAGTGATCCTTTACTGACAGTAAAACTGTCCCATAGTGTTTCCAAGGTTGTAAATCTTTACAGAAGCGGACTGCCACATCTTTTCCCCTCAGAAGGGCTGGTGAGTTCGAACCGCTGATCTTTTGGCTAGCAGTCAAGTGCTTCTCCACTGTGTCACTAGGGCTCCCCCATAAGTGTAGCGGTTAAAATTTGTAACAAGTATTTTGGGGTGAGGTTAAGAACCGGACTGCAAACCACAAGATGAGTAGTTCGAATCTACCAGCTGCTCCATGGGAGAAAGATGAGCCTTGGAGACCCTATTCAGGGTCACAACGAGTTGAAACCAACTCAACAGCATTTAAGAACATTTAAAGGGATACAGTTCAAACCATAGTACCTTCCCTCACCACCCTTTCCAAACGTTACCTCTTTCTATAACAGTACATTTTTTTTTCCTTTTTAGCACAATCTGTAATTGTGTGAATGTATTTGCTCAATTACTTTACTTCCCGCCTAGAATGAATCCCCAGTGAACAGGTACCTTGTTTATTTTGCCTACAATTGGATCCACTAGTACCTAGCGGAGAGCCAGGCAGGAGATTCCAGGGTCCTGCACGCGGAGGGGCAGGAGGTCTGGCGTTCTGGGTCCCTGAGGGCTTAGGAAACTTGGATGCAGCTCTGGCTCTGGCTCTTTCTCTCTTCTCTTTGTCTCTTCTAGGTCCCACCCTAGGCCCAGGGGCCATCGCCGGCATTGTCCTGGGCTCCCTATTGGGCCTGGCACTCCTGGTAGCGCTTCTGGTCCTGTGTATCTGCTGTCTGTGCCACTTCCGTGGTGAGTGAGGGACCTGCTTTCTGGGGGAAGATCCCTAAGAGGATGTCTAGCAGAGACCCAGATGAGCCAATCAGCACAGACATAGATGATCTTTTCGGGCTCTTGAGCTCCATTTTAGCCAATCAGACTCCACGTCTCAGACCAGCTTCCCTTGCTATTGGCTGGGCCTCTTGGGGGCAGGGAGAGGGGCACGTTGGAACAGCCAATCACATATTCTTGTTTCTCTTCCTCTTCCATCAGGAAAGCGTCCTAAGAAGAAGCAGCCTCCAACTTTTACCCCTGTGGTCATCCCACCAGAAAAGAAGATGCAGACTGTGACCTCAGTGGAAACCCCATGGCCTCTACCCCTCAAAGTCCCCCTGGAGCATCCTAGTCCAGATAGGACGTACCAAGTGAGTGTGAGTACCACAGGGTCCTCGCAGAATGGGGATACCCCTCCGAGTCAGGGAGATGAGATGTTCTGAATTCTCTGTCCAGTTTCATTTTTGCAAAGTTGGTGAAGCTTCGTCCTTTCTATGTATCTGCCTACCTATCATCGATTTATCCATCTAACCGTATTCATGGCCTTCCTCCCATCCTCCTGCCCCCTTTTCTTCGTCTCTGCCTCCTACTTTGTTTCAAATATAAAACTTAAGATAATACTTCCCCTTCAGCTTCTCTTTATATTTTTAATAAGAATGAATTCTAGTCGTCTCCCCTCCATCACCATACCCTACAAGGAGGATGGACTGGGACCTTCCCTCCCCACCCTGTAAAAATTGAACACGATTTTCATTTTCTCTCCAAAGTAAGATGGAATTTCCACTTTCCCTACAGAAATGGGGTTGTTGAATGTTTCAACTCTCCCAACGGTTGCCAGCCATTTATTTTCCTCTTCCAACTGGAGAGAACCCAGTCTTTCTGAATGGTGAATGCTGGAGTGGGAAAAGGGTAGGTGGGTAAGCCATATCATATCCAGAGTGACTCCAGAGGCCCTTTCTCCTCTCTCTTCCAGGCCGCAGACCCCAGCCCTGGTGGTGTGCCGACTGTCCGGGCAGCCACACAAGTGTGAGCAGGTCCAGTGGCCTGCAATTGACTGAACGTTTGGGGGGGGGCAGGACTTCCTGTTTCCTACAGCAAAACAGGGTCTTCCTGTTGTGCCATAATGGAAGTTTGGACCCCCAAGATGGAACTTCCTGTCTCCTTCTGTCACCACAGAAAACTCCATGTGTGTTTGTGTAACCAAGAAATGTGACTCTGGGCTGAGAGAGACTCCCAACCAGCTGGTTTTTCACAGCCTCAAAGCAGGCAGGTCTTGCTGGCTCTGAAGAAGAAAGACTGGACTTGCTGTGTTTCTTGGAGACGGGGAGGAAGCTTGGCCACATTTTCTGAAAAGTTCTCGTCACTCACTTTTCCTTCCTTTAGGTCATGCTTCATTCAGCTCACAGAGTCTTCATCTGAAAACAGATCCGATCTAGTCTGTCTTCTCTTTAAACACTTCCAGTGTCCCACAGATACTGTGGAAAGTCCTCACCACCACATTCTCAGCCATGTGGTGTGGCCTCTGCCGACACGTCCTCCTTCCGCTCCTCCAATGGGTGTCCTGATTGTTGTTGGCTCAATTTCGACTCGTGACCGCCTGTGTTAGCGGAGTCGAACTACACCATAGGGTTTTCTTGGCTGTAATCTTACGGAAGCAGATCAGCCAGGACTTTGCTTCCATGGTTTCACTGGATGCCTCAAATTGCCAGTCATTAGGTTATTGGTCAAGTACGAACCATTTACACCACACAGAATTGCTCTTCTCAACCTCTAGGGCTTGACTCTCAGACTTCTTCTCAACCTGCATCTCTCTTCAATGTGATCTTGTCCACACTTAACGACTTTAAACATTAACATGCAGATAACTCTCAAGTGTTTCATTCCCTACCTTGAGCCCCCTTCAGAACTCCAGACTTCAAAAGACAACTCCTTATATGTTGTCTTCACTTGTGTGTCCAATTGACATCTCAGACCTAAGATATCCAGAATGGGACCTCTTGATGTTTTTGCTCTGTGAATATACAACCCTTTATTTTGCCTCGGAGCTGAGTTTTTCCAAGGATCTTGGGCCTGAGCTAAGAGAAAGGTCATGGAAAGAGTTCTAGGAGGTGGGAGACTCTATGTGTATCTCTTCTGGCTCCCAGTCTTCTGCAACAGTCTCTGAGAGTCTCTTTACTACTTACCACTCTAGGGGATAGAGTTCCCAGGTTATTCAAATGGCGAAAATGCTTGGTGGCTATAAGCAGCGTTGGCAGTTTGAGTCCACCCAGAGGCACCTTGGAAGAAACTCCTGGTGATCTACTTCCAAAATATGTTATTGAACTCTCTCTGGAGCACCTTTGTCCCTTGAGTTCATTCTGCCTAGAGCGTTGCTTTTTATCCTTTGGCATTCATTTAAGTCTAAGGGTAATAACCATTATTGCATTAGGCAAATCTGCGGCACAAGACCTCTTTAAAGTGTTCAAGTGCAAAGATGTCAGTTTGAGGACTAAGGTGCGCCTGACCATACCCTCATATGCATGTGAAAGTTGGACAATGAATAAGGAAGGCCATGGAAGAATTGATGCATTTAAGTTATGGTGTTGGAGAAAAATGTCCCAAGTACCATAGCCTGCTGGAAGAAGTTCAGTAAGCTGCTCCTTGGAGACCAGGATGGTGAGAGTTTGCCTCTCATACTATGGACATATTATCAGAAGGGACCAGTCACGGGAGAAGGACAGCATGCTTGGAAGGTCAGCAAAAAAGAGGAAGACCTTCCAATGGGGGAAGGGTTGGCACAGTGACAGCATCCGTGGCCTCAAAGGGAACAATGATTGTAAGGCTGGCACAGAACTGAATGGTGTTTCTTTCTGTTGGGCATAGGTTTACTAGAAGTCGGAGCTGACTCAACAGCCCCTAACAACAACAACAAGGGTAACCATTGCCATCTCAGAAGACCTTTCCCTAACTACTCCCTTGGTCATCACGAGGTGGCCCGTGAGCCTCCCAACACCTCATATATACCTCTGACTTCTCTAACCTGAGAGTTACAGGAAGGCAGGGCTCCAACATTATCACCAACATTAACACAGAGCCTGACACACAGCAAGTAATCAATAAACATTGGGTGGTTGCTTGACCCAAAGATTAAGGATTAAGCATGATGTCTCCCTCCTCCCCAAAGCTGGGTTTCTCATTGTGAATTTAGAGAGTGGGTCAATTTAGGGTGCTTTTAGCTGCATGCAAGAAGATACATGGTGGAAGAAACAGGGTCGCTATGGGTCGGAACCGACTCGACGGCACTTCACCACCACTGCCACCAAGAAAGAAGAACCAGGAGTGGAGTGTGTCTTGTGGACCTGGGTCCCTGAGCTGTGAAGCTTCTAGATCCAGGGGAAGATTGTTGCCAGGACGCATGGAGATCACCAAGGAATGCTGGGCATGGATGCTGACAGGAGACAAGGGCCTTTCTCCAGACATAGCACTCTGAATTTGGACTTCTCGCCTCTTAAACTGTTCCCGTCATAACTTAAACAGGCAACTCCCACAAAGTCCGGAGCCTTTGATGTCCTGCCGAGGGAGGAGGAGGATGTCCTCAAATACCTTGCAGCAGGTACCCACTGAAGTGGCACCAACCTTGACTTCCAAACATCTACAAGAGGAAAAGTGACGGCGTCCACATCAGAAACCTGAAGAGGACCTGGGAGAAGCTGCTGTTGGCAGCTTGGGTCGTTGTTTCCACTGGAAACCCGGCTGATGTCATTGCCTCCAGGATATAACGGCCAGCGAGCTGCACTGAAGTTTGCTGCTGAGACTGGAGCCACTCTTATTACTGGGCGCTTCCCTCTAGGAACCTTTACTAACCAGATGCTGACAGCCTTCCGGGAGCCTGGGCGCCTAGCAGTTACTGATTCCCAGGCTGACCGCCAGCCTCTTACAGAAGCATTTTATGTTATCGCGCCCACCATTGCTCTGTGCAACACAGATTCTCTGCACTACGTGGGCATTGTCATCTTGTGGAACAACAAGAGAGCTCACTCAGTGGATCTGGTGAGATGGAGGCTGGCCCGGGAAGCTCTGCGCATGCGTGGCACCCGTGGGAGGTCATGTCTGACCTCTGTTTCTACGGAGATCCAGAAGAGATTGAAAAGGAAGCGCAATCTGTTGTCTGAAAAGGTTGGGACCGCGGAGGATTTTCAGGGTGAAGGGACTGTTTCGGCTCTTGGATTTATCTCTGCTCAGTCCCCGGTTGCATACAGGCCTAAAGGTGTGCGGGTAGCCCTCTGCCCTTACTGAAGACTGGAGCGCTCAGTTTGCAGCTGAAGGTCTGTGGCCCGTTACTGCTGAGACCACTGAGTTGGGTAAGAGCCACCACGGAGTCGTCTTAAACTGTTCTTCCACAGGCTCTTAGAAAACGGAAATAAGGTGGATGGAAACTAAGTATCAATTTCTAAAAGAAAAAAGAAGTTACATGGTGATGGCAAAAAGGATGGAGGTGGATTGTTTTAGGTTCAATAACGCAGGAACTCCATCAAGGACCTGGGAACCTTTCATCTGTAAAAATGGCAGGGTGTGGGGGTGTCTGCTTTCCTCTAACTTCATGATGGGGGAAGGAGAATCGAGACCAACAGCCCCACTCTCCATTAAAAAAAAAAACAACAACAAAAAACCAATGATAACAACAGCCATCGTCTCTGCTGGGTCCAGTTGTTTATTACAAGGGCCACGCAGAACTCACAGACGGCACTTAAAATTATGGAGTTTACTAGCCCTGCTGGGTCTGGGTAAGAGAAGTGGGAGAAGGTACGCATTGGATGGCATGCTTCAGCTGTGGGTCTTAGCAGAGTTCACTGTAATTGTAAAAACTTGGAACTCAAGCATGGGTTTAAAATGAGCCATCTCAGAAGCAGGAGAGGGGATATTACTACCATTAGAGAAGAGCCAGGAAGGGAGCAATGTCCTTTGGACTTCAAGATCCCTGCACATTGAACCTCCTTGGCCCAGGGACAGAAAGCAGTGACACTGGAAGAGGGGCAGAACCAAGAACCAGAGCAGGAGACAGAACAGTGGACAATCCCAGTCCATGGAGCAAGTAAAGTTGAGTGACTTTGGGCAGGAAGCTTGCTTGTAGAGTGGGGCGCAGCCAGGCACTAAAGTTGGGGAGCTAGAGCTGAATGCCTTCAGCCTGCACCTTATGGTGGAGTGGTATGTCCCATGGGCATTTTATCAACAGCTGACTGGAACAACCGATCCTGTGTTGTATACTGATACTGTTTTTTAACCTGTTAATTTCCCCAATAAACCCCTTAACTGTTAGCATGGTGTCTGAATTCTACATGGCCACTGCAATGGATTATTGACCCCAACTGAGGAGTAGAGAGGGTTATGGGAGGAATGGTTGGTGCCACAATATTGTTGCAGTAAGCAAGCAGTGTCTGCCTCCAGGAAGGAAGGAATGTAAGGAATTCTGGTTAAAATTTGGGGTGGATGAGAACCTTGAGAAACAGACTTCCCACATCTTTTTGGAAAGGAGTGTGTTCAGGTGCAGAATGCGTAGACCCTCACACATACACAAACTCACACACACATTAGTGCCTAGAGACAGATGTGGCACCGCAGGAAAATGCACTGGACCGCAAGGTCAGTTGGAACCCTGAGGTTAGCAGTTCAAACCCACCAACTACTCCTTGGAAACCCTATACAGAGTTGCTATGAGTTAGAACCGACTCGATGGCGCTTAACCACAAAGAGACAGATAACCCAAGTTGGCTTAAATATGTTGTTGGTGGTGTTGGTGGTTATGTGCCATGGAGTCAGTTCTAACTCAGAGACCCTGCACAGGGTTTCCGAGGCTCTAAATCTTTTTGGGAGCAGAAAGCCTCATCTTTCTCCTGCAGAACAGCTGGTAGTTTCAAACTGCTGACCTTGAGGTTAGCAGCCCAATTCGTAACCACTACACGACCAGAGCTCCTTTGTTGCTGTTAGGTGCTCATAGAGACCCCATGTGACAGTAGAACTGCTCCGTAGGGTTTCTAGGCTGGAATCTTTACA